TATGCTGAGAGCAGCTTGGGCTCAACTTTTGGATGAAGTTCAGCCTTGCTGAGTGTGGTGTTCCCAGCCTGTCCCTCTGACAGCTGGGCAGGGTGGCAATGCCAGGACCAGGCTCAGCTACCTGCAGGTGGGGGAACTGGAGGAAACAGAGAGAAGCTGTTTGTTCCTGAGATACCCTGTTCCAGCTGGGAGCAGCACACTCAGAGCTGCAGAACACAACTGCTCCAGCTCCCTGGGGTGCCTAGCAAAGCAACCAGGCAGAAACTGGGCATCTCTCCCATGGAGACAGGCTGGGAGAACTGGGAGCATCCAGCCTGGAGAACAGGAGGTTCTGGGGAGACCTTAGAACCCATTGCAGTGCCTGAAGGGGCTCCAGAAGAGCTGGAGAGGACAATGGACAAGGGCATGGAGTGATGGGACAAGGGGGCATGGCTTTCAACTAAAAGAGGGGAAATATAGATTTGATTTTAGGGAGAAAATCTTCCCTGTGAAAATTCTTCCCTTACTGTGAGAGTGGTGAAGCACTGGTACAGGTTTCTGAGAGAAGCTGAGGCTGTCCCAGCCCTGGAAGCGTCCAAGGCCAGGCTGGACAGGGCTTGGAGCAACTTGGGATCATGGAGGGTGTCCCTGCCCATGGGAAGGGGTCGGAACGGAATAAGCCTTAACATCTCTCACATCCCAACTATCCTGCGTGTCCCTGATTTGGGCTCCTGGCAGGACGGCAGACAGGCTTGGTGGGGGCTGAGCCTCTCCCACGAGAACCGAGAGAACTCCTTGTTTCTCCCACATCCTTTATCTCGCCATGTCCCCCGCGTATCTCCCCGTGTCGCCCACCCTGCGTGTCCCGCCGTGTCCCCCGTGTCCCGAGCCCACGAGCGGCGCGGCCGCACCGCCGGTCTCACACTGACCCCCAGCGTCGGGCGGCGGCTGAGCCCGAGCTGCTGCCCCGGCCGGGAAGTTCGATGGGAACGGAACCCTAATTAAACCCTAATTAGAGCCTGTAGCAAAGCGACGTAAGAAAGCGGGAAGCGGAGGGGCGGGAGCGCCTGTTCCCACGGCTGCAGTTACTGCAGCAGTTAAATTGAGCCAGGAAAAGGTTTCTGTAGCTGATGCTTTTTAACAGCCAGCCCAAGTTGCCAGCAAATCATTAAAATCCTTGTAATCAGTCTCCTGGAGCAAAGGTAAGGATTTGGACCCAGTGAGACGCTTTGTGCTGGGAGAGATTTACTGGTGGTTTGTGAAGCATTTTAAAAATCAATATGCCATGAGCAAGAAGGGCTTAGGGAGAGCAGGAGACCTGGGGCAGGTGGAATTCAATGGGCAGTGTTTGGAGGCGCCTTAGGAAGGATTTGCCAGGTAAACACTAGAGATGGTTACAAAAAGTGCATCAGTAGCAGGGGGACAAGAGCATGAGGCAAGGGTTTGGGAAAGAGCCCTGGCAGGGCTCCAGCTATACCCATCACAGAAAGCCCAGTCCCATACAGCCCCTCAGACAGGTACTGCAGCCCCCCAGGCTGGGCTGGGCTCTCTGCACTCGCTGTTCTCCGATGTTCCTTATGGTTTGTCATTAACGAATGTCACAGGTTTCCTCTTTGTTGCTCTTTCTCACAAAGCCCACGTACAGCTCTGTCGTGTTAATTAATTTCTTCAGATACTGCCTTTCCATGTTTGGTCCTTGATAAAACACTTGCTAGAAATCCAAAATAAGACTCAAAGAGATTTCTCACATGGCAAGCATAAAGTTTCATTATGTACTGTAAATTGCTTGCGATTTCTGTGTCAAGGCTCACCAGCTCCTGATGTGAGCACTCCTCTGTGATGGAAATGAGGAGTTCATTCCATGTGAGTGGTGCAAAGGTCCTCAGGTCAGCAGTGCTCAGGGCAGCAGCATCGGAGGGCTGCAGATCCTTGTGAATTTTAGTTCTAGATGGGGTATCGACTCCCAGAGAATTTCCCAGGACACAGTGTCTCTGGGAGCCCAAAATGGCTGTTCATAGAATGATGATTTGGTTTAGAAGGGACCTTGAAGATCACCCAGTTCTAACTCCCTGCCATGGGCAGGGACACCTTCCTTAGACCGGGTTACTCAGAGCCCCATCCAGCCTCAGTTCTCACCAACATCACCTGAGCTGGCACGACAACACCATGTGATGGAAGGGAACAGCAGCTAAACATTTTTTCTTCAAATCTTCAACACAAGACCAACTCTTCCTGCTGAGGAGGCAGCCAGAAGGATGCAGCAGGGAGCAAGGCTCCTGATCCTGGTTACTGGGAAGTGAATCTTCCTCCTGCTTTCTTCCCAGAAGAATTCAGCCACTTGAACCCCACCCACCTTTTCCGTGGCAGGAAAAGGCCAGCCAGTGCTCCTGATGGATGGCTGTTCAGCATGACAGACCTCACATTCAACAGTTAACAGCCAGCATGTTTACAGGCAACATTTTTTTTGGCTGCTGTCCCTGGCACGTCAGTCATGTTTAGCCAAATGAACTGGGAGGATTATAACAGACAGGGACACTGGTGCAAGTGACAGGCGCAGAGACAAGTGCTGCAAGAAGCTCATTTGCACATCAAGTTTCACAGCCCGGCTCTCCCTTCCTGCTCCATAAGCTCATCAGCTGCTGCTGCAGAGCCGCCAGTTTTCACAGGAATGATGGAGCTCACGAAACCCTCTTTTCATTTTTTCTTCCCTCCCTACTTAGACAACAGATTCTAACATAACCCATTTTTTTAAATATGGAGAATAAGTCCCCTTTTATGTGGAAATGTGGGTTTAATGTAAATAGCTCGTGCTGCTCTGATTCTCTCAGAGGGCTGTGGGCTGTTGGCAGTCCCCCTGTTGCCTTTCAAGTCACTTGGGAGTCACTGCTGCTGAGATGGGGATGGATCTCACAGGGATCCACAGTCTCTCCTGGGTGCTTCCTGTGCTCTGTGACAGTTTTTATCTCAACCGTATTTCAGAATATGCAGCAACATCTGAAGCTGTGAAATTGTCACTACCTGCCCCCAAAATGACGTGGTTAAAGGAGGGAATAGGGAGAGCGTGGCATGAGAGCTCTGGACGGAGCCCTGCCATCCCAGCTCCATCTAAGCTGCTGTGTCCCTTGCACTCTGTGTCCAAGGTCACCTCACAGAGCCTCATGTGCTTGTAGTTGTACCTCACCCCACTGAAGGCCATAGCACTGCTCAGGGCTTTGCCACCCCCTTCTCAGTGCTCAGTCACATCGGCTTTCCAAAGCAGCATAAAACCCCAGAAACATACAGTGTTGTGAAACATATTTATTAGAATTAAATTTTCCTTACTATTTTCAGTTTGTTGTGGAAATTAAAACAAGAACCAGGTTTTCCAGCTGCAGAAATGCTGCTTTTCAGCCAGCTTTAGTCTGCGGCTGTTTACAAGACAGTATAAGTTTTCACTGCCTAATAAAAACAATCATCTGTATTCCATGGCTGCAAGCAACAACACTGTGAGAGAGTGGAGCAAGTCAAGGAGGTTTTGGAGAAGAATATGAATTATCTCACCCGGAGAACAAAGCATAGACGGACCCTGAGCACCGAGGGAAATTGCACAACAACGTGCGTGCGAGTCTCCAAACCTGCATGGTTTAACTGGGGGATTTTATACTTTTGAGAAAAAATGTATTTCTTGAATATCCCCATAGGTACAGTCTTGCCACTTATTTCTGCGATTTAAATTGTTGCTTCTGTTTTTTAAGGCCAGGCTGAACGGACAAGCATTTAATCAGCCAAGTTGGATGGAGGAGCACAGGTACCACTGAGACTCGTGGGACAACTCTGCAATGAGCAAGAACATTAAAGGCTGCTATAAAGAAACAAGCTCCTGTGCCCTCAGATGGACAGAATTATAAAAATCCCCACAGCATCCCCAAAGCACTGAATTAACTGGAGAGGGAGCTGTGTTTAATGTGATGGATGGAGCCCGCGGGCCCCATCGTGGGGACGTGGCCATCAGGGCACTGGTACCTGCCATCGCTCCCCGCAGCACCTCCCTGGGAACATCAGACAGGATAATTACCTACTTAAATCTGGGTGCTTTACTACACAGAAATTCATCTGCTACCCTCAGAGTCCTTGAAGTTAAAGAGGGATTTGAGTTACTGACATAATTTGTTCCCTGAGGGCTGTGGAAAGCAGAGAGAAGAACATCTGAATAATAACTCTTCGACCACGTCTTGAATGGGAGCGAGCGCTGCTCCAGAGTGAGACACAATGGGAAGCAAACGATTTCAAATGTTTATAAGCTACATAGCTCCCAGGCAGGATGGGGCTGGGTTTTTCCCCAAGCAGCTGGGAGGGAGGTCCTTCAGAAACTGTAATTGCAGCCTTCCAATACTTAATGGGAACCTATGGGAAAGATGAGACAAGACTATATACTAAACCTTGTAGTGACAGGACAAGGAGGAATGGGTTTAAACTGATAGAGAATAGGTTTAGATTGGATATTGGGAAGAAATTCTTGGCTGTGAGGGTGGTGAGGCGTGGCACAGGGTGCCCAGAGAAGATGTGGCTGCCTCATCCCTGGAAGTGCTCAAGGCCAGGCTGATGGGGCTTGGAACAACCTGGGATAGTGGAAGGTGTCCCTACCATGGCAGGGAGTGGGACTGGATGATCTTCAAGGTCGCTTCCAACCCACCCCATTGTGTGACCTGTGAGGAGCTGCTTTGTGCTCACTTTTAAGGTGATGCTGTCGGTGGTCCAAGCTAGGGGCTATGACATGTGAGGGGCTCCGGCGTGTGAGGGGCTCCCTTGTGAGAGGGGCTGCTATGTGTGAAGGGCTGCGGCGTGTGAGGGGCTCCGGCGTGTGGGGGGCTCCGGCGTGTGAGGAGCCTGGGCTCCCCGCCCTCGCTTAGTGGGATGAGGCTGCCCTTTGCTCGAAGTCCTTTGTCGGTGCCCCGAACCCTTTGCCCGGTGCCCGCGCTCGCCCCGGGGTTCCTGAACGGAGCTCCACAAGATGGCGAGCGCGGGCCCGCGCTTGGCCCAAGATGGCGGCGGGCGGCACGGCGCGGGGCCGGAGGCGCTCGGACAGCCGCGGCACCTCTCGCCCGGCCCGGCCACGGCTCCGGCACCGGGCCCGGCGCTCCGCGGAGGCGACTCCGGCAGCCGAACCCGCACAGCCCGCGGGGGAAGCAGCCGACACGGCGAGCCCGGTAGGAGGGACGGGGCCAGGTGGGATGGTGTATGGGAGGGAAAGGCCGCGGGGCCGGGCGGTCGCAGAGCGGGGGGATCTCAGGTGATTATTAACAGCTACAATCTGAGCATCATCGTGTGAGGATTATCAGGAGAATTGAAGTAAATTTATCGCCCTTCCCGCTCCTCCCACGACGTTGTTCGTGCCGGTGCAGAAATACAGAGCAGATTTAGCCGATTGCCGTGCTGGGTGATGACAGGCCTGGCACAGTAATTCCCATTAGCATCATCCTTAAGAAAATAAGAACATGGTGATTGACCTCTTACGGTGCTAGTTTATTCTCTGAGACAAGTGTTTTTCTCTTGCTGGTGATGGACTGTATATTGTGGTTTATGTAAGCTGTCTGCTCCTCTTTTCCTCTCTTTACATGTATTTTATACTAATTACTTTTCTTAGAAGGCTTGGATCAAAATGCCACTTGTGTGATGGAGCCCTTCTGTTCCTTTGCAAGTAAAGAGAGGAGGTGATTTTATTCTTTATTTCAAGTGAGCTTTACGATCTTGTCTTTTTTTTCTAACAGTGTTCATCACATGAAGCTGCTGAAGGACAACCTGCGAAGAGGATGAAATACGAAGAAAGCAATCTAAAATCAGAGCTAGAGGGACTCACATGTGAAAGTGGAAACCTTGCTGCGCTGGGGGAAACACCTAAAACATCTGATGAGGGTGGAGGTTTAGAAGATCCAAGAGACAGCAGCATAATCCAACAGAAAACAGATGAAAGCATTCCAGAGACTGATGAAGGGAAGCAGGAGAAGGAGCAGGAGCCACACACGGTGAAATCCAGCGGTGCTCCATTAAAAACAGGTGGATATCTGCACCACTATCACGTGTTCAGTGAGGAGGAGAGCAGCTGTGGGAGCTTTGATGGGGCCCCCTCAGAGGACACGGATTGCCCGCGGAGGCCGATGTTTCTGGAGCACAGCAGTGGCCTCTCGGATGAGGACAGCAACCAGCCCATGCCAGTGCACCGGTTCTTTGGAGATGTTGAGCTGGTGAGATGATGAGTCTGTTCCTGCTTTAGACCCAGCCCTGGTCTGCTTAAAATCTGCCTCAAAACTCTTGGTGAATTTGGCCAGTATTGTTGGGCCCTGTACCCCAGATAAAACTGTCTCCATCAGAGATGAAATTACTTGCTTGGCTAAATTAATTTCACGTGTAAAATCTTGCTTATTTAGACTTTTTAGTCCAATTCCATGAGATAGGTATTTTTACTGATAACAACATTATGGAGACAATATTGTTGGCAAAATAGATTTTTGCTGGTCTTTGATTCATTGCAGAATCATAGAACAGCTGGGGTTGGAGGGATCTTGGAAATCACCCAGTTCCAGCCCTGCTGCATTGGGATTGCTTGGAATGGAAACTGGTTTCTGTCTACCTCAGCCTTTGAACTGACCCAAGGGCCAGAGCTTTACATTTCAATCCCTTTAACAGTCATAACTTTGGGGCAAGTGATGCTTCCACCTTTTAGGTGTTCCTTGTGGTATTTAGAGAGCAGTGAGGATTTGTTTAGGGAGTCCTTCACCCTCTGCCAATCCTCCTCTCACCAGTGGAAGGAATCCCAGCCTTCAGAGTGCCCATGGATCTGGTTTGGGCAGACTCCCCTCAAAGCCCCACAGCTTTAGCTTTGTGCCACTGCTCCCCAGCTGAGGGTTGGTTCCTTGTCAGCTGAGGGAGGATGGGAGCTGGAGGTAGGAGTTCTGCCTCCACAGACTTTTTCCTTGCTGATTTGATCTTTTCCCTCCAGCACCTCCCAGCAGTTGTGCTCCCGAGTGTGACGAGGAGCAGGCGAGAAGCCAGGAAGCTCCATTTCATTGCAAAGGAAGATGATGAAGAGGAGGAGGAAGAGGAAGATGTCTAACAACAGACTGTAAACAAATGAAACCCTTCTTCTTTCTCTTTGAGTCCACATGGCAATGGCTGTGTCAGTAACATGAGGTGTCTGTTTGCCTTTTCTCAGGGAGAGAATTGGGAGAGTTTGTTTTGCTGGAATTGGCAGATGCAGTATTGCAGTTATTATCTGGGGCAAATACTGAATTTTCAGTGGTTTGGAAATAAAGTATAATTGAGCACTTTACCACTGATATTTCAGAAAAAAGCCCAGGGAATAGAGAAGTTCTTATGGCTTTTTTTGTAAATTTGAGCCTCTATCTTGAGAAAGTATTTGGTTTCACTCCTTTTTTTTAAAAATAGTCGAGAAAAGGATGGTGGAGCATCTTTTAATTCTGCAATGTCTGTGCCATCCAGGTAATAAAGGAGCCAGCTGACTCCCTGGTACAAAGAAGGTCAAAGGTCTTCCTTGTGTGGGTTGTTTACACCTAACCCAGCACCAATTAAACCTCAAAAATGCAGTTCTGCTGGCAAAATGAAACGCAGGCTGTCAGAGTGGATTCAGTGTGCTCATCTCTGCGAGTTCAGCACGTTTTCATTGCACGTCAGCTCCCCAAACACCCACCCCGTGGTGCTGCCTCCTCCCTCCACCTGCTGCTCTTAAGTGTTGTCCTCTGTTGATTTCCAGCAGGGATTTTGGAAACAAATGCTTTGGTGGTGATACACAACAAATACCTTCCCTTGGATTTAATGGACAGGGGAAGATTGCTGAGCTCCCTCTGCATGTTTAAAAAAAACAAAAGGAGCAACCTCAGCCAATTCCAGGAACTGTTAATTCACCCAGTGTTTGTGGGAATATTTCTTTGAAAGTGTGATTATGCAATAAGCTTCCAGATATTTATTGTTATAGCTCCTTCTATGTTTCTAAAAATAGAGAGAAAATGTTATCAGCAGATGGTTTAAATAAATATTAATTTCTACAGCTAGAGCTTGTTAAACATTCAAAAGTTGTAAGGCAAACAAACTGCATATGCATGGCATGGTAATGCATTTCCATTTCCACTCCAGCTGATGCATTGTTTCTGTCAAAGATATTTCTTGACTCCTTTTCACTCTAATTCTGTAACACGGAAAAATCCAGATTTTTTAATTGCATATTCATAGTTCCAGCCCAGCTCTGTGTTGCAGCAGCTCCTCCCAGCATTCCTTCAGTGCCGTGTTTGCTGCTGGCTCTTTCTAGCAAACACAGTTTCACACACAGACATTCATTTCACTTGCAGAATGCATTTTCAGTTTGGGGGACACGTGCCACGCAGGTGACACTGGGTTTGTCACCAGAATCCTGCCCAGTGCCCTCCCCAGTGTCAAACAGTGCAGGAGGGGAAGCTGGAAGGATTGATTGCATGCAGTGGAATTAGAAATCCTGTGTTAAAAATGCACCTCCTTGCTTTTCAGAATGCACTGTTTGGGAGGGGACTGAGTTTGTTGTTTAAATCAATATTCTATGTAGCAAAGCTTCCAAAACCCAGTAATTTGGGGCTCAGGCAGAAATATCATTTCCACACAATTTCATGTGGACTAACTGGTCCAGGACCAACACTATGAGGGAAAACAGAGCTTTTTCTAGTTGTTTTCTAGTAGCTGGTGCTCAATTCATAAACACATTTCCCTTCATGCTCTATCACACCTGATTCATGTCTCCTGCACCTTCACTCACACACACAGATGTGGGGGCATTTTTTTATTTAAAATGTTCACACGATTTACATTGACAATCCCAAAAGTTCAGTTGCTATTAAAAAAAAAAAAAAATTCAAGTAAAAAATTGAACTATTCCTGATTTGTTGCCTGAGGTAGGAAATGTTTTACCAAAGCAATATTCTCCAAGGCAGTGGGTAAACATTACTGTAAACATGATCATCGTAGCTGCCCTTTTTGGCAGTGCATCAAGTAAAACTCAAGCTGGAGGCAGAAAGTGTTAGTAAGGAGAAGGAAATCAGCAGGGAAGACGGCAAACAAAGGTGGAAAAAGCAAAAAAATCTCAGGGGCTTGCTGTTCTTTCTCGGAGATGCACATCTGAAGCAATGGCAAAGGGGCAGGTGGGGATGAGGGCAGGAGTTTGGCACAGGTGAGGTGGCAGCTCTGCTGCTGAACCACCTTTGGCATTCCTGAAACTACCTGCAAAAGGCACAGATCAAACATGATCCTAAATCCTTCTTTGTTTGGCTTAAAATCCAGAGGAATAGGAGTCTATGAGCCCCTGCAGTTAGTTTGTAAAAAATGTTTTGTCCAAGTTTCATTTCTGTGTAGTGTGAGTTTTGGGTCAATGCTGGCCAGAGATGACGGGGTAGAGTCAGAGTCAGCCTCTGGCTCATTTTCTACCTTTATCACACTTGATTTGAGCTTGATTTGAGGGAGGCTTGTAAGGAGTGGGAAGGCAGGAGAAGAGAATTAAATGGGATATTGGAGTGTGCTTTGTGAGGCTCTGGTTGGGTTACCCAGCCAGTCTTGTGCCAAATAGTTCTTATTTAAGAAATTTGAGCTATTTAAAAACAACAGACTGACATGATTGAAAAAAGCAGCAGGTCCCTTCCAGAGACAGCACTAGGAAATCTCCTGGGTTTGCTTCCTCTTTCTGTAAATTCTGCTTTTGTCACAGCTGAGGTTATGATTGGTTTTCTTATGGCAAGCAATATGTACGAGTTTTAAATTATCCAGGGTAAACAGCAGCTGATAGAAGTATTCCCAGTTCACTTCTCTCCCGTCTCGTGTTTTGACAGCTTCTGCCAGTTCTGGGACAACAGCACGTTTCTTCTCAATTCTTGGGGACACAAAAGACAAGACAATATTGCCATCAGGAGTTTTTTCAGAATAATCAAGCCTCCATCTTCCTTTCAGAGCCAGGCAGAACTGCAATTCTTTCTCCATTACTAGGCATATGATTTTTTTTCCCCCAAGGAAATTAGTTTAGCAAATCTTGTTTGCTTCACACCAACATTTGAAATGGTTCAGAGGGGATTTTGCTGGAGAGGAGAATTCACACGGATAGCGCAGTGAGGAGGGGTTTGCTTCCACACACAGAAAATCTGCACAGAAGCAAAGCAGCTAATGAGAGGCAGCATTTCATCTGTCTTCAGGGTTTTGTTCTCACAGCAGCTGCAGCATCCCAGCACCTTTTCTCACCACATATTCCCAGCAGAGCTGACTGCACAGCAGGGGGAATGGACTAAGGCTGAACCTTTCTGGTGAAGCTGAAGGCCACAAAGCAGGTAGGTCTGGATTAACATTTTGTACATACATGTGGTCGAGATTCCAGGTGCTGAAGAGGATCCTGCTTTCCCTGTTGCTGTAGGGGTTGATGGAATGCTTACACGGGCAGTCATCTCTGTCAAAAGGTCCCTGTGAAAGGTGTCACAGTTGTCACTCCAGAGTGGTCCTGCCACCCACATCCCCCCCCAGCCTGGCACTGCACCCAGGAAGCTGTTTCCTTCCTCTGATGTTGAGGGGGAATGGGATCAAACTGATAAAAGGGGAAGTTTAAGTCAGGTATACAGAAGAAATTCTTCCCTGCGAGGATGGGGAGGCCTTGGCACAGGGTGCCCAGAGGAGCTGTGGCTGCCCCATCCCTGGAAGTGTCCAAGGCCGGGTTGGATGGGGCTGGGAGCAAACTGGGCCAGTGGAATGTCCATCATCTCATTCCACCCTTGTCCATGGCAGGGATGGAATGAAATGATCTTTAAAGTCCCTTCCCACCCAACCGTTCCATGATTCTTCAGGAAGGCTGCAGGTACCTGACAGGAGAACCACCCCTCTGCAGTGCACAGGCGTGCTGCCTCCTCCTCCTCCCTTCTGTCAAAGTAGCACCCGTTGTACTTCACAGATTTCAGTTTTTCTGCCATCAGGTCGATTATCCCTCTGTAGGCATCTCGTGCTGAAGGATGAACGTTTGAAATAAAACCAGTAACCTAGAAGGGAGAAACCCAGCAATCACTTCTCAGTTCCTGTGGCAGCCTGAGGCTCTTTTCTACAATCACAAGTATAGAAATACTTCATATTCCTGCAGCTACAGAATTACTGTTACACCTTGACATAAGTTACTTCAACAGAAACTTTTACCTCTCTCATGTAGCCCCGCATTCTGCTCTCACAGCTATGCCGCAGGTAGCTGGATTTGTTCTTGAACCGAGACTCCAGCCCTGGAGGGAATGGGATTATTTTGTACCTCAGCACAGCTCCTGCCCAGCTGGGAGTTCATGCTGCCTTCCCACTAACTCAGGTTGCACAGGTTTTTTAATTTCCCATTTTTATTTTACTGGTTCAGGACTACCCTGCTCTTAAACACTTAAAAGGATGCTGTAGAGCATCTGCTGAGAGAGCAGGAGCTGGTATTGTTATGTTTCTTGTTACTCTGTACATGTAGAACACCAAGAAACTGTGAAAGGAAAACAATTGCTGGGGAAGAACTGCAGTAATGGTGTGGGAATGGGAAGGGAAACTTGCAGATTATAAAGAGAACATAAAGCTGGCAGAGATGTCCCAGTTATCCATATACTATTAGCAAATCATTAAAACATCATAAATGCAGATTTATATTAATAGGGGAAATGCATTCCAGAGCTATCTCTATTAAACCAATAGGGAACTATTAAAAAAAAAATTAGCTTTGATACTAAACTACTAACACATTTAGCTTTAGATACTAAATGTACGTGTACTTTGAAGAACATGCACATTTAGTATCTAAAGCTAAATGGTGCTAATGGAAGGGATAACCAAAACCCTGACCAAGCACCCAATCACACCAGCCAGAAGAGCTCCCAGACTTTGCTTTAAGAGCAACACAACTGACAGAAGTGACTTTTCAGAGCAGAGCAAAACCCGGGAGTCCCGTAGCAGCTTCCTACAGCAACCAACACACCTTCAAACCATTTCTTGTCCTCTTCCTTGTCCTCGGCCAGGATGTTTTCGCTCAGGTTGTGGATGAGATCCGCCAGCAGCTTCTGCCTGTGGGGAGCCCGCTCGTCCGTCAGCAGCCTCCGCGCAGCCTCCACCACAGCGCCCTGCTGGCTGCAGAAGGCGGCCAGGAGCCGCTCGATGTCGCTGGCACCTGGGGCAGGTGAGGCGGCACCGGCTGAGCCCCCGCGGCCGCCGCTGCCCCCGCGCCCCCCGCCCGGCCCCGCCGCACTCACAGCCCCGCCAGCTCTGCCCGGGGCCCAGCAGCACCAGCTCCGTCTGCGCCGGCAGCGCTCGGAAGTAGCTCTCGGTCAGCTCCGTGCCGTCCTCGTAGAGGCAGAGGCGGCTGCCTGCCAAGGGAAGCTGCCCCACGGGCGGGTGAGACCCCCGGCTCCGGGAGGGTGAGACCCTGCTCCGGGCGGGACCCCTGATCTGGGTGAGACCCCGGCTCCGAGCGGGACCCCTGATCTGGGTGAGACCCCGGCTCCGGGCGGCCCCGACCACAGCGGCTGCAGCTCCGCACGCGTCTCGACGGGCAGCTCTAGCCCTAGCCCGGAGCTGCGGCACCCGCTACTCGCGGTCCCGTCCAGCATCGGTAAGCGGCATCCCAGCCTGGTATCGTCCCGTCCCGGTCCGCCCCTCACCTGCAGCAGCCGGCAGCCCTTCCTCAGCAACCCGCGCAGGCTCCCGGCCGCCACCCCGAACTTCTGCGGGCTGCCGCACCCGCGCAGGCGGAAGGGCCGCAGCGGCTCCGCCATGGCCGGGCCGGGCCGGTGCCGCTCGGTGTCGGGGCTGGGGCCAGGGCCGGTGTCGGTGTCCGGGGCCGGTGCCGCCCCGCGCAGGCGCCCCGGGGCCGGCGGGGCGGTCGCGCCTGCGCGGCGGGGCCGCGTTGCCATGAGAGCGGCGATGGCGCCGCGCTGAGCCAGGTGGGGCCCGGCCCGGCGCTTCCCCTGCTCCCCGCTCTCCCTCCGCCCCGGGGACACCCCCCGGTCCCGCCAGGCTCCCCCGTGCTTTGTCCGCCGCCTGACCTGGCTGTGCTCCCGGAGCGGTGCGGCCGTGACCCCTCCGGGCCTGCGCCGCCTGCGGGGTTGGGGCCGGCGAGGGGAGGGGGGGACGGGGCCGGTGTTGGTGCTGGGGTGGGCAGCGATGCTCCCGGTGCTTGTGTCCCCAGCAGTGGGTGTGCGGCTTTCCCAAAAAGACTTAATTGACCTTGTGCTTTGCTTTTTGTTCGTCTGACTCCCACACCCAGAGCATGGTGCAGCTACAGGTTTGGTACAGGTTGCTCCTGTATGCATTTGGAACTCATAGTTTCAAGGTCCATCTTGGATTAGCAGGTTTAATTTATTGGTAGGCTGCTCTGCAAGTGATCTAAATCCTCGTTTTGCTCAACAAAAGGTTAAAACATCAGTTATATTGACTGATCTTTTATCTTTTGGTCTGTATTGACTGACCCGCGCCTAAAGAACATTTATGGTGCCAATGTTAATCATCGTCTACTGACTCGACTGACCTCAGGATGCAGTTCTTTGACCGTAGTGCCTCAGTGGGTTTTTGTCACCCTTCCAGGGATGAATCTAAGCTTGAAGGCCGTGGCTGTGACCAGCTCGTCTGCCCAGGATGCCACACAAGATCGGTTTCACGGTGATCAGCTCGTCGGGACACGAGGATGGGTTCAGTGCTCGGGAGCTGATGGTTCATGCACCGACCGTGAACGGGTGGCGCTCGCCCAGGTACTGAGGGGATGGTCCTGTAACACTCAATTTCATAAGCACCAAGTTTAAAATGAGTGGCAGATGTACTGTGCATGGTCAGAGCAGTTTGCAGTATCCCAAACCAAGCTGATAAAGCAAAGTTTCTATAATCCCATGGCACCCTCATCCTGGGGGAAAAAAGCACTTTGGTTAACACCTAAAGGCACTGCATTGTATATAAAGTCCTGGAAAATGAAAATGTTTTTGTTTTTGGCAGTCTTGGAGTTTGGCTTAGTATGAAAAATCCATTTGGCTCAGCACATCTTAACATGTGTGGGGCCCCTGAAGATATGCACGCAGTAAAGGGAAGGGAAAAGTGTTTCCACTCTACTCTTGGGATTCTTACAATATTTATAATATTAGCTTACAATTAATAACTTGAAAATTCCATCATTAAACGTTGCTCGAGTTGGAAGTGAAATCTGCTTTAAAATGATGATTGAATTCAGGAGCTGTGTCTCTTTCAGGCTCTGTCAGTACCCCCAGGAGATCACCCTGCAGCTGGTGGAGCGGTGTCGGATCCGGAAGCTGCAGCTGCTCGCTCACCAGTACATGATTGCGAGCAAAATTGAGTTCTACATCAGTGAAAGTCTGCCTGAATACTTTGCTCCCTATCAGTCAGAGAGGTTTCAGAGACTTGGGTGAGACAGAAAGTTCTGGATCAGTTTATTGATTTAATCAGAAAAGTTTCAGGGGGAAATAATACTCAGTGTGGGTTGTGGGTGATGTGGTCATGCTGTGTGAGCAGCTGGCAGATCCTGGACTTGTGTGGATCTGTGACAAAGCTGGAGATGCAGGTGAATTGCCTTGCTGAGTGACAGCACACAGTTATTTCAGTTGTGAGGTTATGAGGGAGGTTTCACAGTTGTTTCAGTTAGGAGGGGATTTTAAACCCCACCTGTGTGTTTGGATGTATCCTCTGCTCGTGTGTTATGTTTTCCTTCCCAGTTATGTCCCTCTCTCAGACAATGAGAAGACTGATTTCAGAGCTCGAGAGTTGAAATCTGTGTACATGGATGCAGTTGGCCAGTACCTGAAGCTGATTTTCCATAAAAATTATGTCAATAAATACAACTTGTACGGGCAGGTGAGTTAGACGTCCTTACCTGGTAACCCCGGTGACACTTCCGTAGTAAAGAGCAGACACAGAAATCTGCTCCCTTGACTTACGGAAGCAAAAAATGTTGGTTGAAAGTTCCTGTGTTTGTTTTATTTTGTTTAAAAGCACAAAACACAAGGTTAGAAGTGAGTTGGGATCAGGTGAATTCAGCTCATCCAGAACAAGCAAGTCGAGGGCACATTCTGTCACTCTTGTTTGTGCTGAGGTTTAGCCCACACAGCAGGGTCTGTGTTGAGGACAAGGAACTCCCTCTGAGAACAGCTCTGGGGTCACAAAGCCACTCTGAGTGTTTTGGACCTGTTATGGCATTAAGTGAAGGTGTTGCACAGCCACCATGGTGCAGACACACAAACACTTGCTCAATTCTGCAGGGACTCGTTTCAGACCATGGGTTTGTAGATTTGGTGATACATTTTCAATGGATCAGGAGGAACATTTAGCACTCAGTGCTTCTCTCTGCTTCCATATCACCTTCCTGACCACAGGCCCTGGTTTTTGTTTCAAGAAAAGAGGAATGAGCTTACACATTTCCATTTTCTGTGAATTTCTGCAGGTTGCCCTGGTAGCTGTGAACATCATTGGGGATCCAGCAGACTATGGCATTGACATGAGCGTTGTAAGTCCAAAGCATCCCTGTCCTTTTACTGATGCTCCATTTCTTCAAGTACAGGTTCCTGAAGTAATGGGATGAACCTTTCTTGTGCCAGCTCTTCAGCAGAGCTGTGTTGCATTAATTTATTTTTAATATTCTCTTGAAGCAAGAAATTTGAACCTAATATGGGAATACAAACCTTAAAGTGTTTGAACATTTTCATTTTTATTGTCTCCAGATTCTTTTGCTTCAGTGTGCCCCAAAACATAAGTGCTTTATGTTGCAAAACTGATCTTGGTTGTGGCAAGTCAGAATTCTGTCTTGAACACACACCTGATGTTGGTGAATGTGCATTGAGATTTTCTTTTTCCACCCTTCCAAAGCCTACCAGAGAGCAGCTGATAGATCACTACATGGGAATTAAATCGGATGACCCTGCTTTAGATGGAACTTACCTTGGGTAAGTTTGTTCTTTGCCTATACCCTGGCAAAACCTCTGCTTGGTGTAAAGCAGTTGTTGATCTCTCTGTTTTGTTAATTCCCTGCTAATGAAAAGAGAAGCCTGCCTTATTGTGGTTTATTCATTTTGTGCCTTCAGGAAACATGACTCCATTTCACCTCTGGATGATTTGGCCTTTGACATGTACCAGGACCCAGAAGTGGCTCAGATAATCCGGAGGCTGGATGAGAAGAAGAGGGAAGCTGTGCGTCTCGAGTGCTATGACCATGCCAAGAAGCTCAAACAGGCCATTGCAGACTTGCAGAAGGTGCTGTTGGAAGATCTTTTGACACCTAAGTTGAGCAAAGCCCAGTGACCCATCAGGAATCATAATGATTTTGTTTGTGTGGAACCGTAATGATTTTCAATATATTTCCCAAATGATTAATTTTAAAATCACATAGCTTGATTGAGTAATTTGCCTGGGAGCAATGAAAAAAGTAGACTAATGTGATTCCAAGAAATGCTTAATAAAGTGATTCCAAGAAATGGAATGTCACATTTCCAAGAAATGTTGTGAGATGATTCCAAGGTGATTTGTACCAATCCTAGGTGGGCGAGCGACTCGGCCGCTACGAGGTGGAGAAGCGTTACGCCGTGGAGAAGGAGGATTATGACCTTGCCAAGAAGAAGAAGGAGCAGATGGATGAGTACAGGCTGAAGGTGTACCAGCAGCTGGAGCTGCACGACCTCCTGGATGCACAGCTGCTGGTGGGTGCTGTTAGTCCAAACTCAGGAGGGTGTTCTAAATAGAAATGGCACAGCAACCAAACTCCATTCACAGGTTAAGGGAAATGTTGAGATTTACTAAAGCATTTCAGTTTTCTCTTTGGATTGTGGATTTCTTCAACCTGAGACTCTCAGTGTGGTGTTTTATGAGCATGCTTAGTTTTCCATAAATCCCATTAAACTGTTGAGGTCTCAAGAAAATGGCATTAAAATCTTGAATGTTTTGCATAATTTCAAGGCTACCTGAGGCAGATGAATAAGGTTCTCTTTCATATTTTGGAGGGGTAGAGGGGGCTTAGGATGGTATCAAGGCTAACCATACAGAATCCATGTGATTTTTTTATATCCATAGAGTTATGTAATGTGCTCAGAACAGGAAGTTTTATAATCTCTCCACACATGCACCCACACAGAATTATTTTCTGACTTTTTCATAAAGCTGCATTCAGTGGGAATGATGACACACCTGTGAGCCAGGTTCAATCTTTACTTGAAATCACCAGAAGCCCGTTGACAGAGTTGTAGCTGTACTGAGAGATTTTAGCACATTTTTAGCCTTGCTGTAAAAATCTTCTTCCCTTTCTCAGATCCGAAAAACTGAGTTGCCCTTGGGATCTGTGAGTGGCACTGAGAGCTCCCAGAACTCCCCTCCTGAGCCTGCAGACCCTCCCCAAGCAGAGCCCCTGAGGGCAGAGCCTGTGCTAGAAGAGCAGTTGGTGGATCCCACTTCTTCTGAGCCTGTTGTTCTTCCCTACCAGACCCCTCTTTCTCCTCAGACTCAGCCCACAACCTCCAAGGAAGTGTTTCCCAAGGAAAATGTGAGTAGTGTTCCCTCTGTTACTACAGAAACCTGTCAGAGCAAACAATCTGAGGTCCAACCTTCCAAATAATGTGGTTAACTCATGGTTATCTTGGGTGTGATGCTGCTTTGATGTGAGAAAATTGCACTGAGGTGATAAGACCAGTTAGTGGTAAAACCACTTCACATCTGCATCCTTTCAAGAACAACAAATTTTATCTTTTCTGCTAGGTTGAAATTGTACCTTATGATGAGAGACCTCTCCCAACCATCTGCAAGCAGGTGGATGAAGCTGTTGCCTATGTTGAGCCAGAGGTGACTGAGGAGGATGTGGGTGATGCTCCAAGGACTGGCAATGCTGGGGAGCCTGAACAACTCACACAGAAGGCACTGCGGGAAGCCAGCCCTGTTGTGGAAGTTTTTGGAGAGACTTTGGTAAAACCCAGTAAAACAAACCCAAAACCCAGTAAAACAAACCCATGGGTTATTGTGCTTTGGGTAAAGAGGATTTTTATGTGTTTAGAGATGCTATTTTGAAATCTGACCTTAAAATTTGACCTTGGCTCTATGGATGCCTGTTTACAGCATTTTTACCAATCTGTAGCTTTGATGATTGATTATTTGGTGTGCTGATAGACAGACAGGATCCAGCAGACTGCTTTAGGGTATGAACCCAGAACATCCATAACTTGCCACTGTCTTTTGGAGGGAGAGAAACCCTCCCTGTGCCTGGAAGGGCTCCATGAGCCTGACCTGTTAATCCCATTTCACTCATCTCATTTCAAAATGTGTGCTTTTAATAAAAAGCAGATTCCAGTGGGGAACACCTGGGGACTTCACGCTTCAGTTCATATGCTCTTTTGAGGCTGGTTCTCTATCAAAATGTTAAATATTTTGAAATATGAAATTTTAAATATGTATTGAAATATCTGTAGGGACCTTTTAAGAGACAGACTGTTCTGTGCTCAGGTTTCAGGAGCATATTCCAGAACTTGGTCATGTCGAGAAGAGGCTTTACTGGCTGTGTATGAGAAGCTGATGGAGGTGTCAGTGGACACTCCAAAGGAGGATTTAAGGAACATGCTGAGGGCTGCTGTTTTCCTTGTGAGGAGGGCCATCAAAGACACTGTATCTTCAGTAAGTTGGGATAAGTTTGCTGCTCCAGTGAAGAACTGGCAGCCAAAATTGCAGAACCTTGGGGTTAGGATACTTTGAACAAACACTACTGTTGAATAAATCCAAAACCAAAACAAAGCCCCTCAAAACTCCCAAGATAACTGGGCAATATCTGGCATTGAACAGATAGAGAAAACTGCCCTGGGCTGAGCCATGAGCTGGTGCAGTAAATGTGCAGTGAGGTTGATCCTTTTTCTTCATTAAATCTGAAATACAGCAATGAAATAACTTCTAGTTTCCAGCTCAAAGTACTGCACTTAGCTGAAGGACACTTGGGCAGCAAATAAACCTTAAATAAGAAAAAAAGAAGAAAATTGAGCTGGTACTCTTTATGAAACAATTTCTGAAGCCTAAGTCCTAGCAACAGGTTTTCTGGAAGGCAGTTGTCTGAAGTAGCTTCCATTAAGGGTGTTACTGTAATTCAGATGAAGAATAGATTTTACTGTATTGTCTGAAAACAGGGGGCTCTGTGTTGGTTTTGCTCAGTGTTTTCTTTTTCCTTTTTAACTTAGGTTTTTCAGGCTTCCCTGAAACTCCTAAAAATGATCATTACCCAATATATACCAAAACACAAACTGGGGAAGCTGGAAACCTCTCATTGTGTGGAAACAACCCTGCCACATCTGCTCTCTAGAACAGGAGACTCTTCATCCCGCCTTCGCCTTCTGGCTTCAACCTTCATCCAGGTGGGTGTTTCCCTTCAAATTAGGGAGCTCATAGGTGAGAAACACCTGATCAAAGTGGATTGTGAGACCAGGGTTGGCTGCTGTGAAGTGTTATAGCTTATCACAGAATCTTATCACAGAATCTTATCACAACTTATCACAGAATAGCTGGGGTTGGAAGGGCTTTTTGGAGATCATCCAGTCCAACCCCTGCCAAATCAGGGTCACCTGGAGCAGTCTGGGGGTACCTGCTGCTGCTGCAGGTGTGACTCTTGTGTTCTTTGCTGCAAATTGCCTACAGACTCAGCTTTGGAGAGACAGGTAATTGTCCTTTTCCAGTGTGCTCACTGATTCTGTGTGTTCCTAGGAAATCGCACTGTGTCCTGAAGTAAAGCCTCTCCAGATTATTCCAGTGCACCTGGCTAAAACATTAAAGCCAAACTCCCCAACACACCTGGCAATGAGTCACGTGGAACTGGTGGAATCTCTCTTGGTGGCCATGGGGACTGAAAACTCCGGGTTTACTGTCAGCAATGTCATGAAGGTAAGAGATTGAGGTTACAGCACAGGGATGGTTTTCTGGGGGCTTGCCTGGCTTTTTTTGAGTGCTTGAGAATTCCTGGAGAGGTATATTCCCCTGATCAACAGTGCTGGTAATTTTAGAGCAGGTTGGACAGGGCTTGGAGCAACCTGGTCTAGTGGGAAGTGTCCATGCCCATGGTATGGGGTAGAATGAGATGAGCTTTAAGATCCCTTTCAACCCAAATCAGTCTGGGATTCTATGAAGCAAGATGTTAATATCTGGAAAAAAGAATGAATGAATGAGTTAAAAAGTGTTTGCAAGAAATCTTGTAGGAAGATTTCTCCTGCTGCAAGGGAGTCTTGGACTAATAAATAAAAAATGTGAGAAAAGAGAGATAGAAAATTTTTTTATCATTATTTCCAGTTTGCCACGGGAGCTCTGGAGCACAGGGCCCATGAGGTGCGTGAGGTGGTGCTGAGGATCATCTTTGCCATGTACAGGGAGCACAGGGCAGCTGTGCTGGAATATTTCCCTCTGGACGACGCCAGCGCCCGCAGGACCGTGCGCTACAAAACTCTGTTTGAGGGCTTTGCCAAAATCGATGGGAAATCTTCTGAGACTGAAGTGAGGGTATGTAAGGAGAGGCAGAACCTCCAGGGCCACTTCAGACATGGTGGATTGTATTTGTGGGGTTCCCAGACAAAGGAAGGAATGATAATCTGAATGAATCTGACTCCATGTTCTCAGAAGGCTAATTTATTATTTTATGATACTATGTTATATTAAAGAATGCTATACTAAACTATACTAAAGAATACAGAAAGAATACTTGCAGAAGGCTAAAAAGATAATAATGAAAAACTTGTGACTCTTTCCAGAGCCCTGACACAGCTTGGCCATGATTGGTCAATAAGGCAAAACAATTCACATGAAACCAATGAAACAATTACCTGTTTATTATTTATGATACTATATTATATTAAAGAATACTATACTAAAGTATACTAAAGAATACTTACAGAAGGCTAAAAAGATAATAATGAAAACTTGTGACTCTTTCCAGAGCCCTGACACAGCTTGGCCGTGATTGGTCAATAAGTCAAAACAATTCACATGAAACCAATGAAACAACCATGTGTTTATTATTTATGATACTATATTATATTAAAGAATACTATACTATACTAAAAATACAGAAAGGATACTTACAGAAGGCTAAAAAGATAATAATGAAAACTCGTGATTCTTTCCAGAGCCCTGACACAGCTTGGCCCTGATTGGTCAATAAGTCAAAACAATTCACATGAAACCAATGAAACTACCACCTGTTTATTATTTATGATACTATATTATATTAAAGAATACTATACTACACTATACTATACTAAAGAATACAGAGAGGATACTTACAGAAGGCTAAAAAGATAATAATGAAAATTTGTGACTCTTTCCTGCCAGGCACAGAGAAAAGCAGCAACAGATGCAGAGAAACAGACAAAGGAAGAAATGAAAGTTCTAAAAAGCCACTCAGAAGCTCTCAAATTAGTGTTACAAGCAGAGGTTGAAGATGAAGAGGTGAGCATGTTTCAGTTTAAGGTTGTTTTAATCCTTTGCTCCTTGGATATCATGGACTTATTGGTGTTGTGTTATTAAAAAGACTGAGAAACTCTAGACATACCCTGGGTGACTTTTCTCCTCAGCAGTCCAGCTTAAAATCTGGGGTGTTGTTCCTCCTAACATAGTGTAAAATTTGGATTCTTTTTTATAATATAACAATAATACCAATATAATATAATAATATATAACATAACATAATTGTATGATATAATACCTTTATAATAAAGCAGTAATACCTTTCTAATATAAAATAATACCTTAATACAATTGATTTGCCCTAGAACCAGCAGCACAAATGTTGTAGTGCATTGGCTCTGCTTCTAAATTTTAAATTCCCGACAGAAATCAGAATATAGCGTGTTCCTTTTCTCTCTGGAAGGCAAATTTCTGAGTTAAATTTCTTTGTTTGATAGGAGAAAGACTCTTATTTTCAGAAGACAGAGAATGAAGGTAGGTAGTTTGAAATAAGAGTTAAGAAATGTAGATTAATTAAATTGTGATCTTGGTTTAAGAGTTCTCTCCTTACAGGTTCCCAGGTATATGAAGCTACAGCAGGAAATATTCAGGAGGAACTTTCCTCTGTTGCAAATTACCTGGATAAGTAAGTGAGATGAGCCTCTAATCACCTTAAGCCTTGGTGTCACCTGTGAGCTCCTAACAGTAATAACATTTTTCCAGTAGATCAAAGCTAATTCCTTCAGCAGTGAGACAATAAAGACTAAAATCTCTTCCAACAGATTTGAAATGATCACCAGGCAATCCTAGGTGCTTTTCTTTGAAGTTCTTGGATAGTGTGACTTTGTATTTTTTTTTTCTGAGTATTTGCTTGTGGGCTAAGAAGTAGCCACAGTTTAATGTTCAGCTGCCAATGTGAAATAGGGGAAAAATATGGTGTGGCTTTGCTGGGTGTTGTAGGGGGACGGCATAGAAGAAAATTCTGGAAATTCTGGAGCCAGGAAAGCCAGTTTTGATGAGGTGCTCTCAGAACTTCTGTAGAATTAATCATTCTCTAAGAAAAATTGCTCTATGATTGTATTTACCCTAAATTACAAGCCAGTACCTGCCCCATCCTAAGCTCAGCTCTACACAGGGGAAAGAAAATATTCAAGATATTGGATGTATTTGAGAACCACTTGGAACAGGGCTCATCCATTTCTCTCTGATGTCACTGATGTTTGTGTTTTTTTCCCAGCTTGTGTATATTTTGTGGTGAAAGGAACGAGTCCTTCACTGAGGAAGGGTTGGATCTGCACTACTGGAAGCACTGCCCCATGTTAACCCGCTGTGAGCACTGCAAACAGGTCAGACTGAAATTCCCAGAGCTGCTGAGACATGAACTGCTGTTATTCTGGTTTAGATATGCAAGATATTTATCACAGGAAGATATTTAATTCACATAGGTGAATTCTGAGCACACCCACGTGATTTGGGTAGTGCTTTTGGAAAAGAGCACCAATAGAAAATGAGTTAATAACTGGACTGAAATTGAATTTTCCCTTTGTCATTTTGCAAGGTGAGGCTGAGCTGATCCCATCTCTGCTTGCTCAGCACAAACCTTGCTGGCTGTGTTGCAGATGCTGGAGATCTGCAGCCTGACAGAGCACCTGCTGACTGACTGTGACAAAAGGGACAGCTTTGGGAGGTGCCCACGCTGCAGAGAGGCCGTGCCCAAGGACGAGCTGCCCAGACACATAAAGAGCAGGATTTGCAATCGTGAGTGGCTCCAAACAGGGAGGTGGAACAGCAGAGGTTCAGATTTCTAACACCAGGGATCTTTGGCAAGTCAGGCTTAGGGATCTGTGTAAATCCTCAGGATGGGATAAATGCCTGAGTTTTCTGGGGCTTGGCCTGTGTGAATGTGTGTTGGGAGGGTGAGTGAGAGGACTGGGAAATCTCTTCCATATCCTTGTAGATGAAGCACTATTCCAGCACAGAAAGGACATGGCCTTGTTGTGGAGTGAGTTCAGAGGAGGCACCAAGGTGGTCAGAGGGTTGGGTCACCTCTGTGGGGTGACCACGTCTTTATTATTCCCCACATACACTGTGGGGAAAGGCTGAGGGAATTGGGATTGCCTGGAGAAGAAAAGGCTTTGGGGTGACCTAATTGTGGCCTTCTAGTAGGAGCTGAAAGGGCTACAAGAGAGGTGGAGAGAAGCTTTTTGGAAGGGCCTGGAGTGACAGGACAAGGGGGAACAGAATGATCTTTAAGGTTCCTTCCAACCCATGTGATTCTGGGTTCTGAGATTCCTTTTGATCTTGTTTTGGTGATTAAACACAGGGCTTCTTTGGGAGCAGTTAATGGTAACAGGGGCTGGGTTAGACATGGGGTAATTTTATGCTACTGGCTGTGCAGATTCTCTTCTTGTGTCTGAAATTAGCCTCTCTTTGCAATTCTTACATTATTTTTCAAACAATTTCAGCTGCCAAACCAGAAAATGTGGCAAACCACTGCCCTTTGTGCCATGAGAACTTTCCTCCTGGAGAAGAGGTGAGGCCACCCTTCCCTTTGGGCAGATGTTGGTATGGGTTGGTTTAATGTGGTGGACCTTCCAATATATATTAAAAAAATGGAGATATTAATTTCTATTCCATAGCAAGGAGCTCATATTTTAAAAAAGCAGATTAAAGTGCTGTTGATATAAATTAGTGCTAATTTTGCTGGAGTTGTGCTATCATTGCTTTTTAATTGACTTCAGGCCTGGAGATCTCACCTGATGAGCAGAGATGGCTGCAAAATGAACCAGAGGAGGACATCCCTCCTGAACAAAACCATTCTGCTGCAGCCTGGTAAGACATCAGTTAATGATAATAACATTTGTACTTTTTACTGTGTTGCCTTTGCTTAAGGAAAGTGTTATATCCCCAAGAGCTGGGTCTGTGCAGCTCCTGGTTTGCATTTGGGTGAGAAGTGATGGTTTTTATGCTGGAGCAATGTGCCTGGGAGCAAATTCCCAAAATCATGCAATAACAGTCATGTTCCAAGGAGGACACGAGCTCAGCTGGTGGGGAACTGGCAGATTTGATAAATTGATCAGTTCAGGGATTTTTTCTGCAGAACAGGATGACCATGAATAGAACAATCAGCTGAACAGTGCTCTGGAAAGCTCCTGAATGCTGACACAGGGAACCAGAGCCTGATTTAGCTTTTAGTGTCCAATCAAAGGTTGCTAATCTGATCCTAATTACAGGGTGAACTGAACAGTGAGTGCTGTGCACTGCTTTTCCTTTCCAGGCCAGACTCAGGAACCTGACAGATTTATCATTGTGCAGCTTTTTCACCATCAAAGAGACATTGATGATGTCAGGTGGTGTTTTTTCCAGCAGTTTCCTTTATGAAGAACATGGAAAATCCTTTTATTTCCAGAAGTTAAACAAACTGCCTGCAACACCAGAACTTTTGGCCAATAACATCCAAACCTTTCCTCCTTCAGACTCTGGAGTTTTCTAGTCTGCTGTGTGTTCAGTTCACATTCTCTGAGCTGTGCTCTGCTCATATCTGCATGTCACTATCCCAGGTTCCTGGAAAGAGCTGTGGAATTGCCTATTCCAGCTGACCTAAGTGAATCATAGGGGTTAAAATCATCACTTTCTGGTGTTAAATTGGATTCACAATTTAACTGTCTGTCTGTCCTCAGCTTTGCTGTTTGTACTGGCTAATGAGACACCAGTCAGTTGTTAGTTTATTGCTGCTTAGAATTTGGAAACAAGCAAATCCTGCCTGGATAAGCTCTGATTCTGTTTCCTAGAGGTAGGAAAGGAGCACTGACCATTCAGACACTGCTGGTGTGGAACATGCTGAGCTCAGTGCCTGCCTGCTGCTGCTTGCTTCAGTCATTCAGAATTAACAGATCTTGGGAATCAAAACAGTGCATTAAATTCACTCCTGGGACTAGATGTGCTTGCAATAATGATCTCTATTTTTCTCTTTGCAGCCAAAGCATTTGGCCACTATTTAAAGAGACCAGGTCCTTCAGGAACAAAGTTTCAATCTCCTTCAAGAGGAAGCAAGATCAGAACTCGAGGGGCCCCAAATAAAAACACTGGCAAAACATACTCCAAGCGATGACAGGAAAAGTATTTCTTCCTTTGTCTGAATAAGTGGGCATATGGCTTTTCTGAACTATTTAAAAATTGTAGGCAACTTGTATCATCTTTTTGTGGGTTGTTTTTAGCCTTGAGCAGTGCCTGGTGTGATCCCCACGGCGTTGCTGTCACTGCAGCAAAGGGCTTTGCTTTGCAAGGAATGCTCATGTTGGAAATACCAAATGCTCTGGGACAAAAACATTATTTTGACAGAATACTGTGCTCTCCTTTCCAATCCCATGTCAGTAATTTAATGGGTTCAAAGACCATAATTATGTCAGGGGAGAGAAGTCTGTTTCCTGGTGCTTGAGGAACAGGAACCACACGTGGGGGAAGCCTGGCCTTGTGTGTGTGTGTCACATTTAGGGTTCTAAAGGCAGCAGAGCTGTACCCAAAGCACTGCTCAACCCCAGGAATTTGCACCAAATGAAAAGCCAGAGGGCTGGCTGGATGTTTTCCTGGTTGTGCCACCATGCAGAGGGTGACAGGACATTGCGGCCTCTCACTGTGCACCAAGTGCCTTAGGAGCCCACTTGGCAGGAGGGTTAAACTAAACCCTCCAAGTCTGTATCCCCAAGAAATGGCCCCTTACAGAAATGAAAAAATAATCTTGGTTGGGTCCTGAAGAGCTTGAATTAGTAAATATAGTCATTTTTGCCTGCTTTAGTGCACTTTCAGCTCAAATACTGAGCTCCTCTAGTTAGATATTGATTCAAATAACCATCCACAGACTGGAGCACGTGTCTTTAACAGCTTCAGAGAGACAAAGTCTATTAAGACCAAGGCATGAAGCTTTGTACCAAAGCAGCCATTCTCACATCTCTAACATTCTCTCTTTAACATTCCAGCTGTTGCTTTCCAGTGTGGAATTGGTACCATGGGCACAGGAATGAGTGGTCATGATCATATGAGGGGAAATTTGGGGGTTTTTGCTCCCATGGAGTGACTTTGTGGTGTTGTTTTGTGTGTAGAACTGATTTTGTAATACAGTTTTTCTAGTTTGTCTGCAGCCTGCATACCAGATTATGGATTTTCCAGGTAGATCAGTGTGCTTGGATTTCAAAATTATTTGTATAAATTGTTTCTCTAACTCTGCAAAATACATATTTCAATATTTATACACACATTAGGAACATATATATAGGTATTTTTATGTTCCCTTTAGTGACAGGGGTTCCTATTTGAGGGCCTGATTCTCTATGCTAAATAAATAATAAATATCTCTAAATAGCCATTGATCTTGCTCAGAGGTGTAAGGATGAAAACTACTCTGTAGTACAATCAGGAAATAACTTAGTGGTGATAAAATAGCAATTTTTTAGAATGTGAAAGGACCCTTTTGGAGTACAGTAATACCACCAGTGTCATGTTTAAAGGTGACTTTATGGGATTGCTCCTTAATTAACAACCTGGCTTTGCTGCAGTGGCAAAATAAATATTGGAGTGAAAAACACCATGAGATTTGGTGCTGTGCCACCAAGTCTTGAGCAAAATATTCCAGAGAAAATCCATTGCACAGGTGTGGGTCTGGGCAGTGAAAGAAGGGCTGCAAAGGGTTGGACTGGAACCTGGATTTGGCAACAACGGGGCCTCAGTAGGAAAGCAAGGAAAGAGTGTGGTCCTGAGTGGTCTCTGTCCATCTGAGCTGTGCCTGAGTGTCAGCTGAGGTGTTCTCATGTGTCACTGCAGAGATGGTTCCAGAGCAGCCCCTGTCCATGTGTGCAGGAGTTGATCTCATCCCAAAAGACCTCTTGGTGTTCCAGTACCCCAAGAGAGCAATTTATACTGATTGCATGTTCTTAAATGCTGGATGAGCAAATCACATATTGAAATCTAGGAGATATTATCAGGAAAAGGAGTCACTTGTGTTAAATGTCAGTTATTTTTATTGCACATATTTAATAAATTACTTTAGCCAGTCTGGAGGGTACGTCTGCATTTTCCACTTGCTACAATGGAAATGGGTACAGAGTGGTGTGAGGCTGTGGTACCTGTGGGTACCTGTGAGTGCTGTACCTGTGTGAGCCATGCGTGTTGGACCTGTACCAGCCGTGACAGTGCTGTGACATTGCGTGCTGTATGTGTGTGAACTGTGCCTGGACCTGCCTGAGCCCTGCCTGTGTGACATGTACCAGTGTGTGCTCTGTGTGTGTGAGCTGGATCTGGATCTGTACATGTGTGAGCTGTACCTGGACCTGTGTGACCTGTACCAGTGTATGCTGTAGCTGTGTGAACTGCACATGTGGGCTGAAACCGGACCTGTATGACTTGTACCGGTGTGTGCTGTATGTGTATGAGCTGCACATGTGTGTGCTGTCACTGGACCTGTGTGACTTGTGAGCTGTAGAGGTGTGTGTTGTAGCTGTGTGAACTGCACATGTGAGCTGTACCTGGACCTGTGTGACTTGCACGTGTGTGAGCTTTACCTGTGTAAGCTGTGCCTGGACCTGTGCGGCCCCGCTGGGGCAGACCCGCGGCTCAGCAGGATGCGGTCCCGTATTTTGCCCTTGTTTAAGGTATCACTGCATCCAAGAGCGGTGATCCCATCCTGTGCTGCCGCTGCTGCGATCCCATCCCGTTCCGCTGCATTCCCGCTGCCGCGTTCCCGCCGCGGGTTCGGGTGGCAGCCGGACCCTCCCCGAGGGCGGGACCGAGCCGGGGGCGGCCCTTGCACGGCGGCGGCGGCGGCGCGGGGCGGGCTCAGTGCGCGATGGCGGCGGCGGCGGGGCCGTGGCCGGAGCTGGAGGCGGCGGCGCGGGAGCGGCGGCGGGAGCTGTCGCTGTCGGGCGCGGCGGTGGCGGAGCGGGTGGCGGCGGGCGGCGGGCGGCTGCCGGAGGCGCTGCTGGCGCTGCCGCTGCTGCAGTCGCTGGAGCTGAGCGGCTGCGCGGCGCTGCGGGAGCTCGGCCCGGGCGTGGCGGCCGCGCTGCCCGCGCTGCACACGCTGGTGCTGAGCCGCAACGCGCTGGGCCCGGCCGGGCTGGGCGAGGGGCTGGGCGGGCCCCTGCCCGCGCTCCGCCTGCTCGACCTGTCCGGGAACGGGCTGGAGGCGCTGCCCGCCGCGCTCGGAGGGACTGGCGGCGGCGCGGGGGACGCGGCCCCGGCCTTCCCGCAGCTGCGCAGCCTCAACCTGAGCGCGAACCGGCTGCGGGAGCTGGGCCCGGGGCTGGCCCGCGCGGCCCCGCAGCTGCAGGAGCTGCTGCTGTCCGGGAACCGGCTGCGAGCGCTGCCCGGAGGGCTCCTGGCCCCCGACGGGCCGCCCGCGCCCTTCCCGCTGCTCAGCCGGCTGGACGCGGCCGACAACGAGGTGGCCGAGCTGGGTGCGGACATCGCGGCGCTGCCGGCGCTCAAGGTGGGAGCCGAGCCCGCCGCCCCGCACGGGTCCCCATGGGGCAGCCTTGACCGTCCCATCTCTGTGTCCTCCAGAGCGTCCCCGTGGGGCACCCCATGACCATCCCATCTCTGTCTTATCCAGAGCGTCCCCATGGGGCAGCACTGACCGCCCCACCTCTGTCTCCTCCGGAGCGTCCCCATCGCGCACCCCATACCCATCTCTCTCCTGCAAAGTGTCCCCATCGCGCACCCCTGACCATCCCATCTTTGTCTCCTCCAAAGTGTCCCCATCGCGCACCCCTGACCGTCCCATCTTTGTCTCCTCCAGAGCGTCCCCATCGCGCCCCCCTGACCCATCTCTGTCTCTTCCAGAGCCTGGACGTGGCCAACAACCAGCTGCGGGAGCTGCCTTCCGCGCTGGCCGACTGCCCCCGCCTGAAGGAGGCCAACTTCAAGGGCAACCAGCTGAGGGACAAGCGGCTGGAGAAGATGGTCAATGGGTGCCAGACCAAGGCCATTCTGGAGTACCTACGGGCCGGGGGACGTGGGAAGGGGAAGGCTGAGGCTGGCAGAGAGGACGTCAGGAAGAAGAAGAGGGAGAAGCAGCAGAAGAAGGATGGCGGGGATGGGGAGCAGGATGAGGTGGAAGAGGCAAGCAAGCTGCTGGTGAAGGTTCTGCACGTCTCTGAGAACCCAGCGCCTTTGGTGGTCAAAGTGAGCCCGGGCGTCAAGGATGTGCGAGCCTTCATCGTGTGCTGTGTGCTGAAAGGAGTGAACTTAAAGCCGGGCAATGCTCTCAAGAGGTTCCTGACCATGCAGGTAACAGCTGCAGCCTCGTGGTACTCATTTGGAGTGGCAATGTTGCTGGCAGAGCTGGAAATAAACTGTTCTAGGCCTCTTCCAGCTGATGAGTTTGGAAACTTAAGGTGAGCTCCTCACCCAGCAGGTGTGAGGATACAGGGTGAGCTGTCCCTGCCAGCAGCACATGCCCAGTCAGTCTGAAATCAGCAGAACTGGTTTTTGGGAAGGACCCATCAGAGCTCAGGTATTGCCGTGAGGGAATGGACACACTCACAGTTGTGTTGTGACTCTAACAGCAGCTTGTTATTGCTGTGGAACCTGTTAAAAGCTAAAAATAACCCTGTGTCCATGTGTAGAGATCCCCTGGATTGGCTCCAGCGTCCCTGATCTGTTAAAACCGTGTTACACGTGCAGCTTCCTGACTGAGGTATCCTGCTCACAGACCTGTCCCCGGGCCTGCTGCTCACCTGTCCCTTAGGTGGCAGGTGGGAGCTGCTTTCAGGTTACAAGGCTTGAGTATTTGGGATTGCTTTCTGACTTAAGATTTGGTTTCCCTATAGAGAAACATGTCCCATGTTGTCAGGCTTTGCTACCCTTGCATTTGGGCTGTAACGGAGATCCAGGTGAAGGGAAGGGCTCTGTTTTAGTCACCTGGCTGGTAGTGCTGCCAACATTAAATATAGAAAAATCTGCACATAGAAGGGATAAATCACATTGAGTTTTTGATCTATTTTGATGGCATCCTTTGTGTTTCAGACCAAGCTGCACGAGGATATCTGTGAGAAGCGCACAGTGGCCACCATTGCCACTCACGACTTGCAGCTGGTCAAAGCTCCTCTGACATATGATGTTCAGCCTCCTGATGAGCTCAAGGTAGAGCTTAAGGGTGCTTTCTTACCCCCAGAACCTAGAAAACAAACTCCAGGAACTTTAGATGTGGTACTGATTTCCTTGCTGTCCTGCTGTACCAGGCGCCTGGTTTAGTACTAGCGGCTGAGCCTGTTTTTCAAGTGGGTGTTACAGCAATCCATGTGAAATGGAAATTATTTCCATGCTGAAAAAGGCATGACAACATGCAGGGATATTGTTTAATTATTGACTTGCTTACAGGGGAGTGTTGTAACCCTGGTGTTTGAGTGAAATTCAGTTAAAATGTGTGACGGTTTTCACAGGGGTTCTTGGATGAGGGAAGAGACGAGGATCTGGCTCCATGTTTCAGAAGGCTTGATTTGTTATTTTATTATATATATTACATTAAAACTATACTAAAAGAATAGAAGAGAAGGTTTCATCAGAAGGCTAGCTAAGAATAGAATAGCAAAGAATGATAACAAAAGCTTCTGTCTTGGACAGAGAGTCTGAGCCAGCTGACTGTGATTGGCCATTAACTAGAAACAACTCTATGAAACCAGTCACAGATCCACCTGTTGCATTCCACAGCAGCAGATAATCAATGTTTACATTTTGTTCCTGAGGCCTCCCAGCTTCTCAGGAGGAAAAATCCTGAAGGAAGGATTTTTCATAAAAGTTGTCTGTGACAAAAATATTTTGTTTTTCTGTGTGGTGCAGATCACGCCCCTGGGTCGGAAGGAGATCAAGGCCAAGGATCTTCTCCGGCAGCTGCAGCTGGAGGCTGAGGAGCAGCGGAAGCAGAAGAAGCGTCAGAACGTCTCTGGGCTGCACAAGTCAGTGCCTTGTTGTGGTTTTCCCACACACATTTAGGTGACTGCGCTGGGGATGTGACAGATGTGTTCAGAACAGCAGATAGAAGGGAAGCAGAGAGGATTGAAGGGTGTGTGGTGCACATGCTGTGAGCTGAGGGAATCAGAGATGAGGTAAACTTGATGTAGTAGCAAATGGGCTGTAAAGCAGTGCTGAGATCACACACTGATTCCTTTTTGTCACTATTTCCTGCCCTTGTGTCCAGCTGCTCTCTCAGTTGCTCACTTCTTGCTGCTTTGTTTCTCGTGGCAGGTACCTGCAGCTGCTGGATGGCAAAGACAACTACCCGTGCCTGGTGGATGCTGAAGGTGCTGTGATTTCCTTCCCACCAATAACCAACAGTGAGAAAACAAAGGTACTTCCCATTCATGGAAATACATCAATAACTAAGCAGTGTTTCTTTCTGTTGAGAGATGTTTAAGTCAAAGGCATACACAGTTCTGTGAAACTTGTGCTTGTAGTCCAAGTACAAACTCTTACAGTTTATAAGGGCTCCACTGTCAGACTGAGAGGGATCTGGGAGTTACAGTTTTACCTCTTTAAATCTGTTCCAAAGCACCAGTCTGCCTGTGCAAAAGCTTTGGAAGGGCAATAGTATGGTTTTTTATTTGTAAAGAACAGCAGAGCTTTGCCCCTGATTAAACTGAGTGAAAATCTTCAGCTCTGTGTACTGGGATGTGTCCAGGGGAATGTGGGTGAGCTGCTCTGACTCCTGACTTGCTTCATCTGTGAAACTCTTACAGATTAGAAAAGAGACCCGGGACCTGTTTCTGGAAGTGACGAGTGATACCAGTTTACAGATCTGCAAAGATGTCATGGACACCCTTATCCTGGTAGGGAGTTGAGGAAAATATTCTTCTGTTCTTGGCGGGGCTCCTGCCAAATGTGTCATTGCTCACATGCATTGAGAAGAACACAGAAGCTGATTTGTATTTTGGTAGTATTGTTACTCCCTCTCTTCGTTCTCTGCCACAGAATTGATGTTGTTCTCTGTACTTTGCTTTTAACAGAAAATTGCAGAGCTGAACAGATCTGCCTCGGAGAACAAGGAAGGCTCTGGCTCAGATATGGAATCAGATGCTCTCTGTGGAGCAGGGAATTTGAACCTGCCTTTGGTGGTGGAGCAGGTGCGAGTGGTGGACATGGATGGGAACTTGAAAGTACTTTATCCTTCCAAAACTGACCTGGCCACAGTGGCCTCTCTGCTGACTGTGATCCGTTAGCAGCTGCCTGAGCTGAGAGAGGATTCCATTGCCTTTATTTGGGTTTTTTTACATATATTCAACAACACAACTGGTGCACAGTGAGATGGTTTGGGTTTTTAAAGAAAAGATGTGGAGCATCCTGCTGGGAAAGCAATGGCTTCAGAGTTTGGTGAGCAACAGCAAGGAGAATTGGGATTTTCATCCTTAACAGAGATCACCTGTGCAAAAGAGCAGCATCTTCAAACATGGGCCGAAGGCAGAGAAGCTGTTGGATGTCAGAATGCAGTAGAGAAAATCATTACAACGTTTAAAACAAGCACAGTCACATTTTTCTGCAAGGTCACTTTTTCCTCCTGGTGTTTCATCTGGATCATTTTTATGGCAGCAGAGAAATGCAGTAATTGACAGTGTGGAACTGAGGTCCTCTGCTGGGTACAACCTGGAGCCAGAATGCCAGAGCACTTTGCTGACATCTTGTTCTGCAGAATTTTATCTGGAGTAGCTGTGAACATTTAGTTGCTGTCAGAAGCGTTTAATTGCTGTCAGAACTTGAGGGATGCTTTTTAAAGTGACGGTTTTTGTGTTCAGACATGAGCACAGTTTCCATTTTTAAGGGATTTGTTGAGGGTTTGTGTGTCCCAGTGCATTTCAGGGCCATCCTCCATCCCTGTGGGAATTGTGGTGACCTTGTGTGTGCCCAAAGAGTTACTGTGGGTGAGCACTTCCAACATACAGGCAGTTGGAGCTCTTGTTTGGCAGTCTCTATATGTGTGGGTGAGCACTGGTGTGCACTCACACCTCTCCCTAAGCCAAGGTGGTCCCCAGACTGACTCTTTTCTGGTAAAAATGAGATCTCAGAGCTCCAACTGAACTGCTGCTATGTCAAATGCATCCCCATGTTGGGACTTGCACATGGAATGGAAAAATAAAACAGCTTTTGCAGCCCTGGCACTGTCCCTCGTTTTGGCACTGGGGGATGTTCAGTCAGGTCACTTAGAAACTTCCCAAGGCAAAAATGGGAATTATACACTGCCCAGCTGCCTGTAGCCAAGCCAGCCTTGTGCTTCAGGCTTCTCTGGGAAGTCAAGTGTGACTACAGACCAAGGACTTCCAGTGACTTGTGCTCTGATTCAGAATGAGCATAGACCAGGGAATACAGGGGACATGTGGTTGCTGCACTTGGAGTTTGCAATGGGAAAACTCAGCCCATTCTGATTTCACAAATTTTCCTCCCAATGAACTTACAGGAGTTATATCTTGAACATAATCGAATTGAAGAGGTGTCAGAAATTTGCTTTAACCATTTAAAGCATGGCTTTAACATGGCTGAAACTATTGAATCAGATACTCCCACAGAACTTGGTGTCAGTAAAATGAGTTTTATTTCTTGTAAGGCACCAGCTCGGAGCTCAGACCCCAGAGCCTGCGCTGGTGATGGGTTCTGGCTCAGCCATCAGAGCTTTTCCATCCTGGAGGATTTCCTTCTCCTTGCTGGTGATGCTGTGCTGCTGTCACTGCTGAGCAGGGACGTCCTGCTGCCCTTGTTCTTCAGCATCTGCTGGAACTCCGTCCGCTCGTTGAAGATTTTCTGAAAACCAGCCATGTGTGAAGAGGTGGGAAGGCTGGGAACAGCACTGCAAAGTGTCCTCTTACCTCAGCAGTCCCCTCCTGGCTGCTGGAAGCTGTCTGCAAGAGCCACAAACCTGCATTGCCTCCAGCACGTCATCATCCGTGAGCTCGCCCTGGGGGTCCTGGATGCCCTCCACGCTGAACGTAGCCTGGATTATTTTGTTTCTGTACCTTTCAAACTTTGGATAAAAGAGGAGAGCGGGTGTGTTCGGGCTTTATGTGCAATTCCTTGGCATTTGCACTGATTTACAGAGACTGTGAAGTGTTTATGTGACATTACAGGCAGTTTGGGCTTCACTGAAAGTGCTGTGGTAACCATGTGGGTCTGGGTGGGCCAAGGCTCTTTCCCTGGCACATCTGCCTGCAGGAGACGACTTTAGGGTGCTTCTTGTTACCTTGGGTCTGGAAGGATGTTAGAAATCTGACCTGAACTCAGCTTTCTCAAGAGTTTCTGGTATTTGAGGTCTCTTTTGTTTTTAAGTGGCACAAGAGCTGCCTGCTCCACAGCTAGGGAGCAAATGGATTGAGATTCCCAAGAGGGAGACAGGGCTCTGAGGTGAAAGAGGCCACGCTTACCTTGCTGCTGATGAGCTCCAGTGCCACTCTGGTTTGCAGCTCTGTGTGCTGCAGTGCCTCAAGCTGGCTCTGGGTCTCCCTCTGGGCCTGTTTCTGCTGCAGGAGCTGGAGGCGGGTGCTCACAGCCTCAGCCTGCAGCTGGCTGATTGTCCCCTGTAGCTCACTGATGAGCTTGTTCTGCTCAGCCAGCTGGAATTCCTGTTCTTCGACAACCTGAGCAGATACAGGAATCCAGCTGTCACTGGGGAGAAGAAACTGAGCAAGTTTGGCCTCATTTTCCCACTGTTTGGTCCAAATGTTTCCTGGGCAGAATCTCTGGACTGACAATGTCACCAGTACTGATAACTCGTATTATTTGGTGTTTTCTCTAAAAGTACTTGGATTGAGTGGGCGTTTTATATGCCAAATGCCACCAGCCCTAAAACCAGCCCAGTGAAGCAGCAAACACCAGACTTTTCTCTAGAGGCTTTGCTCAAATTCACCTGTTGAAGGTTTTGGTTCTCCTCCACCATCGCCACCACCGCTTCTTCCTGCCTCTGTTCTTCTGTCAGGCTGCAAAACTGGAAGGAGAATATTTTACTCTTCAGTTTCACAGCTACAGGTTCCCCTCCTGCCTGTGAGAGAGGGACATGTTGCAAAAATCCCAAATTTCCCAACTGCTGTGTCTCCTGCTAGCCATGGCCACCACACTCTTGGGCCGTACCTTGTCAGACACAGCTTGGAGCTGGACTTCTCTCTCTCTGAGCTGCTTCTGGAGCAATTCCTTTTCAGATCTGATTTTCCGAAGCTCAGATTCTTGGATCTCCATCTGTCTTTGCAAGGAAGAGATAGCACCTGTAAAATGGGAGAGTACTCTGTTAGCAAAGCAAATCCCTGCTGAACGCTCTGTGGCTGCTTTTTTCAGGTGAGCATAAGCAAAGCCACTGTGGGAACAGTCTGGGACCAGACTTGGGTCACATTAATGCTGCAGCCACAGTAATTCTGGGTGATAATGTGGTTTGTGGGTTTGTACAGCCTGGAGAAGAAAAGGTGGTTTCACTTCAGGGTGACTAATTGTGGCCTTCCAGTACCACAAGGAGCTGACAAGAAAGAGAGTGTTTGCAAGGTGCTGAATGACAGGACAAGAGGGAATGGCTTTACACTAACAGAGAACAGGGTTAGAGTGGATATACGGAAAAAATTCTTCCCTGTGAGGGTGGTTAGGCCTGGCACAGGTTTTCCAGAGAAGCTGTGGCTGCCCCATCCCTGGCAGTGTCCAAGGCCAGGCTGGACAAGGCTTGGAGCACCCTGGGATAGTGGAAGGTGTCCCTGCCCATGGCAGGGGTGGCACTGGGTGATTTTTAAGGTTCCTCCAGCCCAAATAATTCTGTGATTCCATATGTATTAACCCAGCTTTGAGGTGGGTGCTGCTCTGAGGACACGGAGAGTGGGCACTTTGAGCCCCGCTTTGCCACTCTGCTCAGCGCTTTCTCTGCTGGTTTTCTCATGTTCTTCAGTTCCAAGGGCAGAAAGAAAGTGTTTTCAAAACAAGCGGCTTTTCAGGCTGTGAGCGACACCCTGTAATGTTTCCAAGGTGAAAGGAGCCGAACTGAATGAAACCTAGGCAGGTAAAGGCGTGCTCTGGGCACCTCCCGCGGTACCTATGGCCATCTTGTGGTCATCCTTGGCTTTCCGCAGCTCCTGCTGGAGCTGTCCCATGGTTTCGGCGAGCTCTGGTTCCTGCGAGTCATCGGCTTCCATCGCCCGCGGCTGGGACTGGGCTGGGGTCTCTCCCGGAGTCTCTCCCGTCTCCTCGGGGCTCGGAGCGGGGCCGCTGCCGGGCAACGGCGTGAGGCGGGCGGGCCTTCCGCTTCCGAGTCAGCGGGGCCGGGCCATGGGGCGGAGGAGGAAGACGCTGCACGACTACGCGGCCGAGTTCTCGGAGCTGTCGGTGCGGCGGGAGCCGGCGGGGCCGGGCCCGGGCCCGGCGGGCGCCGTGGAGACGCTGTTGTGCACGCCGTGCCAGCTGCCGCTGAGGGTGCGCCGGGACCGCATCCTGGAGCACCTCAGCTCGGGCCGCCACTGCCGCAACCGCCGCCTGCTCCGGCAGCTGGGGCTGCGCGCCCCGGGGCTCCGGTGAGGGACATAGCGCTGCTCGGGGGCACCCGGCTTTTCCCTGCCTCATTCAGCCTCACCCGACTGCCCCTGCTCCGGGTTACCCGGCCTTTCCCTGCCTCATTCAGCCTCACCCTACCGACCCCTGCTCGGGCTCACCCGGCTTTTCCCTGCCTCACTCGTTCCATTTCAGCCTCACCCTACCGACCCCTGGTCAGGTTCATCCTGCCCTTCCCTGCCTCACCCGCCCCATCTCAGTCTCCCCCAACTGCCCCTGCTCGGGCTCACCCGGTCTTTCCCTGCCTCACTCGCTCCATCTCAGTCTCACCCGACCCCAGAACGGTGTCCCCAGTGCCCGTCCCCCTGTCCTGGGCACTGCTGAGGCTTCTCAAGTGCCGTGCCCAGTTCTGTTCCTCACTACAAAACAGACATTAAGGGGCTGGAGTGTGGCCAGACAAGGGCATGGACCTGGGGCGTCAGTGCTATGAGAAGTGCCTGAGGGAGCTGCGGGTGGCACTTAGTGGTGTGGTTTAATTGACAAGGAGGTGTTCAGTCAAAGGTTTGCCTTGATGATCTTGGAAGTCTTGTCCAACCTTAATGATTCTTTAATTATGTCTGTCTCACCTGACCCCACTCAGGAAGCATTTGGACAACATATAGTGGCATTCTTGGGGTGTTCTTATGTGAGGTGTTCTCAAGAGTTGGATTTGATGATCCTTGTGGATCCCCTTCAGCTCAGGATATTCTCTGATCCTCTGATATCTCTCTCCTCAGCTCTGCAGATCCCGACTCCAGCCTCAGCCTGAGCCTGCCCCTGCCACTCGACGTGCCCTCCCTGCTCTCCCATCCATCCTTCCTCATCACCACTGGATCCAGCACTGGCTACAGCATGATCCCCTCTCCACCATCCTACAACAAACTCCTGCTTCCCCACCACCCCATCCCCGCCACACACAGGCATGACCCAACACCCTCCACCTCTGCCAGCCACCCCTCACCGCTGGCCACCTCCTACACCAGGATTGCACCTCTTGGCCAAAGTGGGCCCGCGCCTGATGCCTCCAACAGCCTGACACCCTCCTCATGTCACGGTTGCAGCGGCGTCGGCCTCGTGCTCTTTGGCGCAGAGCTTGTGAGCACAGCCTTGTTGCAAACCCTGCTGGAAGAAGCTGGCTGCTGCCTGCTCTACGTGGTGGAGGATCAGCTGGAGGAGGTGGAACGAGCCTTTGGTGCCAAGGTCCCGGCTGGCACCAGGGTGCTGCGGCAGCAGGAGGCCACCATCGCACTCAGTGATCCACGGTACTGACCAGGGCAGGGAGTTCCATGCAAGCCTTGCCTTCCCCTCTGGGAAACTCTGTAGCAGCCCCAGACTGTGCCTCTGGCCGCCAGCTCCTGGATGTGGCTCTTCTCAGGGTGGGGGGATTCCATACAAGCCTTGCCTTACCCTCTTCTTGTTTTGTTAAGAAATTAAAAAAAAAATTTCCTCCAGTCCCACAGAACAATAATAAATGGCACCTTCCCTGCTGCCTGCCAGTTTCCCTGTCTCAGAGCAGTCGGCTGAGTTTGGTGGCTCTTGGAGCTCTGAGATAAGCAAGGGTTGGTGTAAATTGTGGGAGGGTTGTGGCGTTTTGCTTTCCAGTTGAACTGAACAACTGTAACATCAGTAAAGCGCTGTTGCTGTCAGGTCTAAAATATTGCAGGAGCAAAAGGCAGAGCTTTTAGGAAAGGCAGATTTGATACTAGAAAGTAAAGAATCACAGGAAGCTAAAATGCATTGATCAGCAGCTCTACCACATAAATACTTTGGATTTAAATCCCTTGTAAAGGAAACCTTTAAAAGATTTTCTCCTAGAAGATGCAGGAAAAGTAGTGCAATTCCTTTGTGCCACTTGTGATTTTAACCTATGTGTGTCACTATATTTCATGCTTGAAGCAGGCACTGAGTTCCTTCTATAACTCAGCTGGCTCTTCCAGAGCAATGGGGTTTTAGTTTTTTTTAACTGTAACCAAATAGGACTTTTGAGCATTGTTTGATCTAGTGAAAACCTTGTTCTTACTGAAGATCTCTCTTGATTCCTGCAGAGTTTCTGGAGCCATTATTTGTTCCCCACCTGACAAAGCCCCTGAGATGGTAAGAGATGCCTTACGAGCAGGTGAGAGGAGCAGCTGCACTTTCAGCTTTTCCCTGTGCCCATTGGTGTGCACTTGTGAGTGTGTTTGTGTTTCAGCAGCAGCCCTGGAGCTGTGCAGGCTCTCAAATTGTGTAATTAGTGACTGAGATCCCTGCTGATGTTAATGGCTGGACACCAGTGGGGTTTGTGCTATGCTGGTCCTAGTGTGACTGGGCAGTCCCACTCCTGGGACAGCTGAAACCACAGCGGGCAGGCAGAAGGGGGTAAATGCCATCAAAACCAGCAATGTAATGAGCTATTACTGCAAGATCAAGGTGTTTTGTGCAGCTGTGTCTCCCCTGAGCCCCGTGTGTGTCCTGTTTTGCACAGGCAAAGGTGTGTTCTGTGAGGGGCTGCCCAGCTTGGACAGACAGACAGCAGAAGCCTGTTTTGATGAGGCCGACAGGTGTGGGAGGCCACTCGTGTGTGGGTTCTACAAGTAAGACCAGTGGTTTTCCTGTGATTTAATCTTTATAAAATCCCACGTTCCTCAGGCTTTCCTGACTTGGTCCTCAAATCAGCTTGGTTTCACCTTGAGAGGAGTAGTGGATTTGTCTTTACAAACAAGCTGTGGGTCTGCTGGTAGTTAAAACTGGCACTGGGAGATAAAAAGAAACAATGGGAAGGATTTCACTGATTGGTGAAAGGAAACAGATATTTGCTTTTATAAATAAACTTTAGGTTTGCTGATCAGTGAAATTAGACATTGAGAGATGAAAGAAACAGTAGGGAAGAAAAACCCCTAAATTCCATAAGAATTAAAAATGAAAAGGGAGGGTTGTACATTAGAGGGGAATCTTTCGTATCAGGTGTATCAGGAAGCCTGAACCTCTCAAGTACCTCAGAAATGGGGAAAGCCCCCTAAATTCCATAAGAATTAAACATTAAAAGGGAGGATTATACATTAGACGGAAATATTTGGTATCAGGTGTATTGGGAAGTCTGGACCTCTCAAGTACCTCAGCCAGTGGGGAAAGAGAGAAGGGAAATGTGGTTGGGAAATTGGGATAAAAAGGAGGCTGCATCCTCAAAAAATTGGAGAGATCCCAGGGGAATGCCCCATGGCCTCTCCCTTTATTCAAATAAAGTAAAAAGGACTCCTCAGTCTCCTTTTTGGACATAAACCTCTGATGTTTGTGGATTAATTTCCTAACAACCTCATCCTTGTTTCCCTTGGAAGGCGCTTTGACCCAGCCCTGCAGTTCCTGTACAAGAAGGTTCGGGACAGCCGGGCCCTGGGCAGGATCCACAGGATATCAACCATCAGCAGCCTCTATCCTGCAGCCTCTCTGAGCCTGCTGAAAGCCTCAGGTACCCAGCAGCTGCCTTCACTCAGAGTCATGGAATGGTTTGGGTGGGAAAGGACCTTTAAGCTCATCTGTTCCACCCCCTGCCATGGACAGAGACACGATAACCAGACCAGGTTGATCCAAAACCTGCCCTGGAAATGTTCTGTGGGAATTCCCCTGAATTTGTATAGCCTTAAGATTGATCCATGGGGAGGAGCATTTTTTGAGGAGTGTTTTCTTTACCAAACTTCATTTCTGTGTATTTTTTTGTCCCTTTATTAGTTTCTTCACTGTGGGGGCTTTTTATACCGTCTCTGTGCAGTTCAGAAATGTGAATTGGCTGTGGGTTTCAGTATGGAGACATTAATGCCCAGTTTTGGTTCTTCCAGGTGGAATTTTTTACAATGCTGCTGTGCATGACATAGATATTATCAGTTTACTGTTGGGAGAGAGTGTGCCAGATACAATATTTTCCCTGGGCCATGCCTTCTGTGCAGGTAAGAATGAGTCTTTTGATGGTTTATTGGGTACCTCTGGAGTTCAGGGTTAAAACTAGAAAGAAAGAAGGAACGAGAGCATTATAGCCATGACAATTGTTCCATTATGGAGCAGCTGAATAAACAGGCTGGTGGAATGTAAGGGAGGTTCCTGGGGGTATTTGGTGAAGATCTCTAAATCTGGTGAATCTCCTGCTGAGGTGAAGCAGTTGCAGTGGAGTTATCATTGAACATGACTCTGCAGGACATCAGGTTTGGAACCAGAGTGCAGAAAATAACTGAGCTAAGGTTTGAGCTCACAAAAATGTCAATGAAATATTCATTCTCTGCTTTCTCTGGCCCTTCCCTGTGGATCCCAGGATCATCAAATCCAAGCTGTGTGTTTGCTCTGGGTTATGTTGGGCTGATGTGCACACCCAGGGTTACCACACTCATTTAAACGAACCGTAAAAGGTGGAAGCTGCCATTTTTGAAATGGAAATGCAGAGTTTTAATTAAGGAAATTGCAGCAGCTGCCAAGCTTGGCTGGCTGGGGTGAGGAGAGGCAGGATGCAATGCTCTTTGCCATGGCACACATTGAAATGCAGCAAACAAGAGCCCTCCAGGAGGGTTCTGTACCCTCTGCCTTGCCCCAGCAACGTGCTGGAAGTTGCCTGATCCTGGAAGCACAGGTGGGTGCCCTCATTAGAGAGCTGCAGGCTGGGATGGTGGAGTTGGGCCTGGGGCTGTGTGTTCCTGCAGAACTGCCTGTGTTCCATCAGGAATGCTGGTGAAGCAGCTGGGGTGCTGTGGGAAGCTGTCACAAAGCCAGTGTCACCTCCCCAAGGAAGAACAGCAGTTTGTAGCTGTAGAACTTGCTGGTTTGCTGTTCCTGGGGTGAGCCAGGCCTGTTTTGTCCCCAGACATGGGCTGCCTGAGGGATGTGGACATGGTCACCATCAGCATGAAGTTCCCCAGCGGAGCCATTGTCACCCTGGACATCAGCCAGCACTGCACCAGGAGCTGTGACCAGCGGCTGGAGGTGGGGTCCTGCTGCTCAGTCAAGTCTGTTTTGACTCCTCTGAGTGTGCCTGCAGCACTTTTCCCAAAACCCCTCTGTTACAGAATCACTGAGGTTGGGAAAGACCTCCAGGATCATCAAATCCAACACCTTGTCACCCAGAGCAGAGCTTTAAGTGCCACATGTTTGTTTGGCTGTTGCCTCAGCAGCAATCCTTTTTCAATCTACAATCCACTTTCTCTTTTCTCACCCAAATTTTCTCTCTGTCCCATGCATTATGTGGTGTTAAGAGCTGCATGAATCATACCAGAGCAGGAACAGGTCAGTTCTCCTGAGGCTGAAATTGTGCAGATTTCCTTTGTCCTTTCCAGGGTGGTCTCAGCTGTGTAGCAGGAGTCCTGCATATGAAAGGGGAAGAAAAGTGTAAATTTCTACAGTAATGAATAATTACAGCTATGGGGGCTGGTCTTGGGGAGGAATTAAGCACTTATAAAAGGGGCCTTGCTCAGGTGAGGTATCACACAAGTGGAAGCCACTGTACTACAGCTGATCCATGATGTCTCTGTTGTGTCTGAGCCGTACCAGGACTGGGGCAGGTGACTCCTCATTTCAGAACCTACTTTAGTCTTGGTTTTACAAACCAGGGCTTCTCTGGTGATAATCTGTGTGAGATTGAAAGTGTGATAACTTAAAAATGTTCTTTCTTCCCTGTTTTGCTCCTTCCCTCAGGTTCATGGGTCTGAGGGGACCTTAAGGGTGGACAACCAGAACCCCCTGGGCATCACAGAGCATGGGACTTCTGTGTCCATCTGTCCCCAAACCCAAGCTGAGCGCTACAGAGATGCCTACAGGGAGCTCTTCAGGCACTTCCTGAGAACCCTGAAAGGTGGGACAAGGCTTGAATGGATGGCTGGTGTTGCTTTGGGTTGGCTTTGTTGGGGGATGCATCATGTCAGGTCATGGAGGTGGGTGGGGGGTGATGATCTGAAACGCTGTGCTGGGAAGAAATGAGAGTTGGGAGGGGAAACTGCCTTGGACCTTACTGTCCTTTGTGATGAAAACAGCTGTTTGTGACAGCCAAGAGATCCTCAGCCAGAGTCCTGGCTGCCCAGAAAGGATAAAAATCACAGAATCATGGAGTGGCTTGGGTAGGAAGAGGCTTTGAAGACCATGTAGTCCAAGCTATTTTTATTCAGCAGTATTTCAGTTGTTGTGGCTGCATTGACAGGGCAGGAGGAGGGCTGAAATGTTTAAAGTTCTGCAGGCCCAGGGATCTGTGCTCACAGGGACAATGGGTTTCATCCAGTGCTTTGTTCCTGTCCCACAGGCCAGGAGCCCCCCGTGGTCACCAAGGAGCAGTTCCTCTGGACCATCCAGGTTGCTGCAGCAGCCGAGCAGTCCTGGAGGAGCAGATCTGCTGTGGACTTGCACAGCAGTGCCACGGATCCACCTGGGGTCAAGGCTGAGCTCGTGTGACAGCCACTCCCACCCTGTGGCCTCAACAGAAGCCTGGATGGTGGTTTTGGTGTTCCCACTGGGTATGCCCAAGCAGACAGAGGCACTTCTGGACCAGGAGCACTTGGTGCTGGGGTAGGGCAGAGTTCTACTGTGTCAGCCAGAGCCTACAAGAAATTCTGTGTGGTTTCATCCGGGTGGCTACAGAGCTCTGTTTTCCTGGGAGAAGAGGGATGCTCCTTGGGCCAGGCAGGGTAGTGTAATACCACCAGTAGCTGGGATGAGAGAGAAGTCTCCCCTTGGAGAAAGAACAGCCACTGCCTGCCTGGAGGAGTAGTCACAAGCAGGTGCCTTCCCAGCAGTGCCACAAGGGAGGTCATTTAATGCTCAAAAAAACACAGGAGCATCTGTGAGATATGTTTAGAGTGTATCTATGGAAGAGATTCTTCCCTTTGAGGGTGATGAGGGGCTGGAATGGATTTCTCAGAGCAGCTGTGGCTGCCCCATCTCTGGAAGTGTTCAAGGCCAGCCTGGACAGGGCTTGGAGCACCCTGGGATAGTGGAAGGTGTTGGGGTGGAATGGGATGAGCTTTAAGGTTCCTTCCAAACAAACCAGTCTGGGTTCCATGATCCTGTTTGGGATGCAGAAGACAGAGCCACAGGCCAGTCTGTCTCTGCCAGGAGCTTTGGACCTTTCTCATGTGTGTGGAGCTCTCTGCAGATGTGAGGCTCTGACTGTTCCTGTCTGGCTGTCACATGCCAGTTTTCAAGACCTTTTGAAACCTTTTTTTTGTTTTTTTTATTGAATTACAACAACATTCTAGACTCCTTCCATTCCAAGGCATTGGTTTATAAACTTCTTGCAAGAATCAATTTCCTATTCCTATCTGTGGAATATATACTCCTAAAACTAGAATAATGTGTTCTTTTTGGGAAATTGTTTTTAACAGTGTCATTTTTCAAGCTCAGAAAAACTGTGTTTTAATGCTTGTTCTCCATTCCATTTGCTAGTTTTTAGCCATTTATTAAAAAAAAGTTTTATGTGTCCAGAAGCTGTTTTTTGCCTCTCTGTACTTGCTGTAGCAGATTAGTACACAATGGTGGGTTTCTCTTTTGTTTCAGTAGCTTTGAAGTCCTACAATTGAAGGTTTACTCTGGGTTAAGAGGGCACTTTCTGTCCAGTTTTAATTTCCAAATCCAGTAATTCCCACATGTGCTTTTATTGTGTTACAAAAAAAAAACCAAAACAAAAACAAACCAACAAAAAAAACCAACCCAAAACAAAGGAGTAACCACAGCTATAAAAATAACACATTTTCCAATGATAACATTACAAAAAATACAATTCCTATCACAGAGTGATCCATTAATACTGCTGGGAACAGCCCTGGGAACACTGGAAATGTGAGTGGTTGTTGCAAAAGCTTTAAAGCATTAAAGTGCTTTACTGAGCCATTTCCTGGGGACACAGACCACTGTCAGCCACAGCGGGGGATTCCCAATCCCAAAAGTTCCCAATCCCTGTGGTGTGAGGGGTGGGATGGCCTCAGGGATGGTGACTGCACCTGCAGCTCACCAGTCCCCGAGGGAGAGGAGGGACAAGAGGCAGCTGAAGGCTCAGAGCTGCTGTGGGACACCCAGACAAAGCCTTGGAAGGAGGGTCCCAGCCTCCTCCATCCAGTGGTCACACTCCTGTCCCCCTGGAGAGGGAGCAGCCACTGCCTGCCTGAGGAGAAGTCGCATCTCAGGTGAGCCCTGGTGGGATTTCAGCACTTCTGCTTTTGCCTAGAGGCTCCAGGGCTTTGGGAAGGGTATCCAGCCCCTTCCCCAGCCTGGGGGTGATGGGAAGCAGGTGCAGGGCTGCCTTTGGAGGCATCCAGAGGGAGAGTGCAGCAGTGGGAATGGGCTGGGCAGCATCATCTCTGTGCAGGTCCCCTCAAAGTCTCCAGTGACCCAGGGCTGAGGGGGCAATGCAGCAGCTCCCTGCCCTCCCTCCCACAGCAACAGCTCCTGAGACTTCAGTGCCTTTCCAAGACCTGTTGTGGGACATTGCCTTCCCAAAAGTGTAGGGAATAAACAATCAGGAAGGGAACACACCTATTTGTGTGCTTGCTTTCTGTGAAGGCTTTTTTCCCCCAGTCTGAATCAACAGAGAAATCGCAGCTGGGGAAAATGACGAGGAACAGAAGAGAATTGGTCGGCCAGTCCATGCCATGCTCCAAAAAGATGGAATTTACACCATGACATTCCAGCTTGTCAGGTCTGACCTGTCAACAAAACTCCCCAAGGGAGCAGGGAGGGATTATCCAGACCTCTGACTTCTCAGGACATTCACTGGCTTTCCCCCTCCTCCTCAACTGCATGCAAGAGATTCAGAGGAGGGAAAAAACTGAGTTTTGAACAGATAAGGCTGGAGACAGGATTGTCTGCATGTTTACATGCTACAACATGGAATTAATTTACTTGACACTGCGGTGTCTCAGGAGTCAGTATCAATTTTTATAGCTTACATGAAAATAAATCTTTCTCCTTACAGCACAACGAGTTTACTGTATGTACATTCTATTTATATATACACCAACCTTTAAGTACAAGAACACATTGGTAATGGACAAACAGGATTTTTCTGACTCTGCTGAGGGAAGCGGTGCATTTGGCAGTCCATGGAAATGCAGGATGTGGCTTCACACCAGTCCCTGCACAGGTCAGGGCTGAGTCTGTTGCAGTGACAAAGCCCTCTCAGTTTGGGACACCATGAAGAACACGGACGGCGAGCAGGGATGAGAAAAACGTGCTGTCCTTACACTGCTGGATGCAGAGATGCTCCAGGAAAACACAAACCACACAGTGCCTCCTGTGCCGTGGGCAGGCAGAAACCCCACTCTGGCTGCTGAGCTGGCTCGGCTGCCCTCCTCCTTTCCTTCCTCCTCCTCCTCCTCCTCCTCACCTCCAGTTTCCTCCCCAGGCAGGCACCTCCTGCCTGGCTCAGGGCCTGCAGTTCCCCTGGATATAACAAACTTAAACTTCTCCAGGTGCCCAAGGCTGCAAACACATTTTTGAGGGGGTGGAGGGGTTTATCACCCCGCCAGCGTCTGGAGCCCCTCAGTTGATCTCTCCCTCCGTGAACTCCTCCTTTATGGACTGTTTGCGGGATTTGCAGTCCGGCAGGTCGAAGCCGAAGTCGGCCCAGTCGTCGGCGGTGCCGCGGTTGGGGATGGTGATGGTGTGGCGCACGCGGAAGTGCACGGCCTCCATCACCCGCTGCCGCTGCAGCTCGCCCGAGCTGCCGATGGAGATGGTGGAGGCGTTGCTGCTGCTGGAGCGGATCAGCTGCTGGGCCCCGTAGTCGTGGCTCTGCTTGAGCTCCTGCAGGCCCCGCCAGATGATCATGCGGTACTGCTCCGGGATCTTCAGTGCTGCGAGATCCTGCAAGGACAACACCGCTGAGGCACGGCTGGCAGAATGGGGCTGGACCAGCAGCAGAGAGCCCCAGTTGTGCTTTTCAGGGCACACATGCCCAACAGAGCAGAGTTGGACCTCCTGCCATGGCCATGGGTCCTTCCCTCAGGTTCACGGGTCTGAGGGGACGTTAAGGGTGGACAACCAGAACCCCCTGGGACTTCTGTGTCCATCTGTCCCCAAACCCAAGCTGAGCGCTACAGAGATGCATAAGTTTGTTATATCCAGGAGAGAGTCCCAGATTATGTATTTGGGGGGACGCATGGGTGCAATACCCAACAGAGCAGAGATGGACCTCCCACCATGGCCATGGGTTCATCATGGTGCACCCATGGCCATGGATGCATCCCAATGCACCCATGGCCATGGATGCATCCCTTGGCTGTCACAGACATATTTTATGAAAAATCCTTTCATTAGGATTTTTTCTCCTGAGAAGCTCTTGAGAAGAGGCCTCAGAAACTAAATGTAAACAATAATTATCTGCTGCTGTGCAATGCAACAGGTTCATCTTTGATTGGTCTCATGTTGGTTGTTTTTAATTAACGACCAGTCGCAGTCTGGCTGTCTTGGACTCTCTGGTCAGTCACAAGATTTTATTATCATTCCTTTCTATTCCTTGCTAGCCTTCTCATGGAATCTTTTCTTCAATTCTTTTAGTATAGTTTTAATATATCGTATACATTTAATACAATATATATCATAAAGTAATATATCAGCCTTCTGAAACATGGAATCAAGATTCTCATCTCGTCCCTCATTCTGGGACCCCTGTGAGCACCACCACACCCTGGGTTGTTTCCCATTTGTAACCAAATAACTGCAGGTTTGCAGGTTGGAGATTTTTGTTGTTATTTTGGGAAGGGTTCACATCAAACTGATGTGGGAATGGGAGGGAAGGAAGGGATCATTCCCCTTGAACACAGGTTGCAGAGCAGCGTGTGGAGCATCCTTGTGGCTGTGCACTTGGGGTGGCCTCTGCTCCGGTCCTGGCCCAGCAGGCTGGAGCAGCACCAGCCTCCAGCACTGAGGTGGGTGACCTCAGACTGGGGACATGTGCCAGGACACACACCAGCACAGGGGGGAGCTGCCAGGGGTCCGTGTTAATGCCAGCACAGAGACTCACGGGAGCGTTAACTGGAGCAGACAGCGAGTATGCAATTAGTAGCTACAAACGACTCAGACACACAGCTCTGCCCTGACACAAGTTTTGGCCATTCCTAAACGTTCCCATGGACAGCTGACAGGCAGTCATGGAGTTAGTTCAGCAAATGGTCCAGAACCAGGCTCAGGTTACACAGCTGGCCCCAGCCACCAGTGACAAATCATCATCTCTCCTGAGGGATGCTGCAGCTGCCAGGTAGAGACACTGCTACACCTGCCTGGGGCAAAACGAGGTCAAAACAGGGTCGGGCAGGAGCTCTGTCTCAGTCAAAACACCAGCTCAGGGATTTACAGGGTTTTCTATGGATCAAAGGGTTTAGGATTATTTTTTGTTTTCCTTTTTTTTGTTCCTCTGATGGGCTGGGGAGCAGCTCCAGTGCCACCCCTGGTACCAGCAGCAGAGGATGATGCTCTGGGCACACACAGGTATTTCCAGCATCCTCTCCGTACTTTTTCCTGCTTTTACCTGATCTGGGCTATTTCATTCCAGACTTCTGCCTCTTTCATTGTAAAGATTAGCAGGGGAAGAGGTGAGACCAGATTAAACCTCCCTGAGCTGCTGTGGGGTGTCCCTGTTGGCTCTGTGGGATATGGGGTGTTCCCCTGAGCACCTCAGCTGTGTTCTCTGTGTTAGGTGGAAAATCTCCCTGAGCTCTGGCCTGGGGATCTTTGATCTCTGTATTTTTGAGAGTCTGGAGCAAGCAGTTGAGACTGGTTGTGGTTTTTTGGGGCTGGTTGTTATTTTTATCAAGGCCTGAGCAATAGCTGCCTCCAAAGGACCATCAAAGGGGCAGGAATGACAGGCATCAATCCTGGGAACACATTCTGTGTGAGGGGCTGGGGCACAGGTTTCCCTTCCTCCAAAACACTTTCAGACCAACAGCTGTGGGAAACAAGTGGTATAAGAACAGATCTCCCCAAAGCATTTACCTCTATGGATAGGTTCTGCAGGTGGTAAATATTCTGTAACCCTTGTGAGGTGAAATAGTCGATGCAGTTTGGACACCCCAATCCTGTTAAAAAACT